GGAGAGCCCCGGCCATCTTCGAGAGGTGCTGGGCGAGGCCTCCCTGGTTGTCGGCGTACTTTACGGTCCGCCCTCTCCAGAGGCCCACTTGCCGACCGGCGCGATCTAGGCGGGAGACGGCGTCCCAAAGCATGCCGGGCCCGACCTCGCCTGCCAAGCGGAGGGCTTCGACCTCCCCGGCGGACGAGTCCAGCGCGCCCTGCAGAACGGCGATGGTGTGTTCGGCATCTGCGAGGCGGGCGGCTAAGTCGCTTTCGCCCGCGGCCGCCCCGCCGCTGCGCGCCCTCGCGTCCAGCTCCTTCGCCCGCGCCTCGAGCTCAGCGGCCCGTTGGTTCAGTGCGGCCCTCTCGGCGCGGGCACCTTCCAGATTGCGGCGCGCCTGCTCCTCCTGCGCTGCCTCGCGGAGGGACAGGCTGTCCGCCAGCTGTTGCGCCGCGGCCTCGGCTCCCTCGAGAGCTCGCTCCCGCTCGGTGAGCGCGTCCTCGCGGAGGCGGAGCGCGAGCTCTTCTTCGGCGCAGGCAGCCTCGTGCGCCGCCAGCGTTGCTTCCCGGATGGTAACGGCGGCCTCGCGGTCCGCCAGATCCCTCTCCACGACGCAGGCGCGCTCTTCCAGCGCCATGGCACGCCCCTCAAGGGCCTCTTCGCGCCGCCGGGACGTCGCTTCGGTCTCCGCCGCCCGCTGTTCTCGGGCAGCGGCAGCGTCAAGCACCCCCTGGGCGGCGTCGAGCTTCTTCCTTAGCTCCGCCTCCCAGCTCCCGTATTGAAGGCGGAGGGTGTCCTGCGCCTCATTCATCACGGTGGTGGCGATGAGGGCAGCCCCCCGCTCCTCCTCCACTTCCTTGGCGATCTCCGCCAGCACCTTCTTGCGGGTTTCAAGCTCCGAGACATGCCGGCGGTGAGCCTTACGGCCCACCTCCACCATGGCCTCCACCGAGCGTCGCCCCTCTTCGACACGCGCCCACGCGGCGTCGAGCTCCGCCCGCTCTGCCTGCAGGGCCTCCACCTGGGCACTTAACCCGTCCAACACCGTGGTGTTTGCGGCGGCCAAGGCTTGCAGAAGGGGCTCTGCGCTCAGTAGGGCAGCAGAAGGCGTGGGGAAAAGCCGCCTCGGAGAAGATGCCACGCGGCTCGGCCCGCCGATGGAAGTGCCGGACTCGGGGATGTCTCCCGGACCCGTTTGGTCCTGAGCGTCGCCCGAGGGAGTGGGCCCAAGCGACGCGCCCGCAGCCTCGTCGCCAGCTGCCCCGGGAGTTGTCGCCTGAGCGTCGCCCGAGGGAGTGGGCCCGAGCGACGCGCCCGCGGCCTCGTCGCGGGCTGCCTCGGAAGTCGCCATCGTCTCGTCCTGGCGAAATCCGGCTTCCTCCCGAGCAGCTTCCTCGGCCTGGTGGGCTCGGGCGGCCTCCTCCCGAGCAGTTTCCTCGGCCTGGCGGGCCCGGGCGGCTCCCTCCCGAGCGATTTCCTTGGCCTGGCGAGCCCGGGCGGCCTCTTGGGCGGCCTCCTCGGCTTCCCGTAGGCGATCCGCGGCCTCGCGCCGGTCAGCTTCCCGCCTACGGGCCTCTGCGGCCGCCGGATCCTCGGCCTCAGACTGGCCGGACTTGGAATGGCGGGAGGGACGCGACGGGATCTCGCTGAAACAAAAGAAAAGACCAGAAGACGAACAAGATGGGTGAGTGAAAACTCGCGTTGAGAGAATGAATACAGCCACGATGGGTGAGAGACGAACCTGCGAGGGGGTCGGTTAAACGACCACTTTGGAGGGGAAATGAGGTTTCCCCGAGATGGTTCTGTCTCCTCCATCTTGCGGGGCCGCTTCTTCTTGCGCTCCCCCTCGGGCTGCGATGCTGGCGCGGCCCCCTCTGGGCGCTTGCTGCTGGCACGCGCCGCCCCGCCCCCTCGGGGAGGAGATGGGGGAGGTGTTCCTCCCTGCTTCCTCTTCCCCCGGGCGTCGGTAGGGCGGCTGCTCCCCGGGCCCCTGCCACGGGACCCAGAAGCACGACCCCCTCTCGGGGTAGATTGTTCCCCCCGGCGGCTCCCGCCTGCGCCGTCGTGGCCCTTTGGAGCTCGCTCCTCTGAGGCCCCGACCGCCATCATAATGGTCAAGATGGAGGCGCGGTCTGGATCGCTGCAGAGGGGGAGGATTCCTTGGGGAATGAGGGCCGCCTCCACGGAGTTGAGATTCAGCACCCGTTGGACCAATATCTTGAAGTCCTCAGGAGCCCAGTCCCATCTCACTCCCTGGTGGGTCCTCATGAAGTCTTCGGACCCGGTGTACTCCCAGGCGCCCCGAGCGCGCCGCTGGAGCGGCGCAATCCGACGGCGGAGGTAGTCGCCATACACCATGGTCCCTGTGAGCCCCTGGGATCGCAGGCCCGCCAGGCGGTCGAGGACGGCGTCATAGCCATCCCCCAGATCTACCGGCGCCCGCCAGCTGGAGGCCTGCGCCGGGGGCTGGCTCGGAAGTCGGAGGCGCGCTTCGTCGGCGAGGGGAGTGTAGAACCAGTCGCTCTTCCAGTCGTCCCACTTCTTGCGGAGGGCGCAGGGGATGTAGCGGTTCAGCGCCGGCCCCCGTGGCTGGAAGTAGCAGCCGCCGACTACCGATGGCGGCGACACCGACTGCACGGTGAAGAACCACCGGAACAGCCGAAGAGATGGGCGCACCCCAATGAACATCTCGCACAGATGCGCGAAGATGGCCAATGTCATCACCGCGTTGGGGGTGAGGTGCGCCATCTGGAGATCGTAGAACTCCAGAACATCCATGAAGAAAGAAGAAAATGGCAGAACCAGCCCTGCCATTGCAAAGGGGAGAAAGAAGACGGACCGCCCCGGGTAGTCTGGCGCCGGGCGTCCCTCGCCCAGCGTAACTATCTCCCGGCCGGTGGCAGATTCCGGCATGAAGCGGCGCGGCAGCCCAGCCTGCCTCTCGCTCACGATGCGGGAGGGCGGCAGCACGCTACCATCGAGCAGAGCGGAGCCCCGTGCCATGGCGCCGGAAGGAAGAGAAGATTAAGAGCGAGCGCGAGTGGCGAAGGTAGGGCGCAGGAAAGAAGGAGTTAGGGCACAAGCGGCGAAGACAAGGGGAATAATGGCGAAGGGAAGGAAACAAATCCCTTCCTCAGTGCCTTTATACCCTTGCCAACGCTGTGCCCGGCTCCTCGCTTCTCGCGCCCACTATTTCGCCCCCTCGTTTCTCGCGCCCACGCTTGCACTAATCCCATTCACCCGCTTGCGGCGCATGAGGTGGATATGCGGTTGTGGCAGTCGAGGTAGATCATATCGTGCGCGCGTTAATTACGCTCGCCAACCGAAGCGACATTACCATATCTCCAGATGAAACGAATCGCCATGTCCAGATTCGTGTGCTACTCGAGTAATGTGGCAGTCTTGAAGAGACCGCTCATTATTGACAGCCGAGTTACCATTGCCGATGTGCGTGATTTTTGACCGTTGGGTTTCTGCCCAATTGTGGAGACCGGTCCCACCTGTCACCAGGCCTTAGGAGTGGCGTCACGCCCGACCGCTTCCCTTAAGGAGGGCAATCGCCCTGGCATAACGCCGGGGGCTACTGTCGGTGACATGGGATCGGGAGTATCATGACTAGAGGTTTGAGGCAGACACAATCGTCCACGTGGCCTGGCACCTTCGGGGGACGTCGGGCCCGAGGGTGATGTGTTCGCCCTCCTCTTAGTCCCCCCGAGGGGGTCGGGCTGCACCCCCCTCGGCCCCGAGGGCCGGGGCGCCCCGACCCCTCGTGGGTTTTCGCTCCGCGTGTATGGGTTAGGTGAGCACAGTGGGGCTCACCTAACCACATTTATTGTGGTTTGGCTGAGCGTGTCACGACGCATGCAACGCAGTGTAGTGCACTCTTTTATCCGGTCTGTGACCAGTCACAGACCGGTCAGATCGCGGGTTAGGTGATGGCAGGCGGTCTGACGCACACCTCGCCCCATCCCGTAAGGACGAGGGCTTCTAGGCACTCGACCCTAGCTGGAGCTAGCGTGTTACCTCCCAGAGATGGCACGTTAGTCTTGACCAGATATATGCCAGGCTTCATCCTAACCATTACAAGCAAAATGTTGTCTGAAGAAGGGCGAACATATAGATTGCTAAGCTGACACGTGGTGGACAAGAATGACCGACGTGACTGGTCTGACTCCGGTCATGTCGTCAGCAGGCGGCCACAATTCCACGACGCGTCTGCTCCAGGCGGAAGTGGAGGTGGTTGTGGGCCGTCCCATCAGAAGGTGACTCGGACGGCAACCATGCAAATCTCCGTCCATTTATGAAAAGGTAGAGTAAGTCCCCAGGGAGAGGGGGAGAATGGTGCATGCGGTATCCCCTTAAGATATAAAAGGAGGACCTTGCCCACTGAGGAGGGAGATAGATTTTGGGGAGCTTTTTCTTAGACTGGACCTTTCCAGATTAGGAACCGAGAACAAAGGAGAGGCTGGCTCATACTTTGTAGCTCTTTCATACACAGATCTCCCAAAACACAGGAGTAGGGTATTACGCTTCTCAGCGGCCCGAACCTGTATACATCGCCGGTGTCTTCTGTGCTTCCTGTCTCGCGAACCTTCCACATACAGATTGGGAGCTTAGAGTTTCACCCAGGGTCCCCGGCCGAACCGGCAAAGGGGGGCCAGCGCGGTCTCCCGGTGAGGAGCCCCACGCTCCGTCAACATGCATGCAGCATTAAATGTGGATTAAAAAAACCAATTGCACATGTAGTTTTTTTAAAAAATATATTTGTACATGTATTTTTTTTATATTATCAATTATCCACGTGTGAGATAAGGCAATGTCGTTAAAAACAGTGTTACAGATATCTTAACTCCATCTATATATAAATGCTGTATAGAATTAAATTATTAATCTCAACTAATTTCACATGTCAGTACCCTGACATGTGTGCACTTGTGTTGTGTGGTGTCCGAAGTGGTGTGCTTTTTCTAATTTGAGATTTTTTTGTTATATTCGTATTTATTATTAGTAGAGCATCGCAGAATTGAATGGTTTAAAGCAGCTCCCATCTTCTTTTCCCCACTTCCTTCTTCCTGAATTTTTCCCCTCACTCTCTTATCTCATCTTTTCCCCACTTGCTTGCTTCCTGAAATTTTCCTTTTCCCTCTCTCCTTCCTGCGTCGCCGCCGGTCACCTGAGTCGCCTCGGTGTACTTCCCTTCCAGCTTATTGTGGGGAAACCTTGAAGGGCTCCCTGGGGTCAGATCCGTTTGCTCATGGATCGGAGGTGTGCGGCACTGGGGATATTGATGTGCGACGAACCGTCGTCGGTATCGGAGGACCTTCGGCACAGCAAGGGTCCTTTGACGAAGCATCTCGTTTGCTGTCCATGATTGGAGCAGTGGCTCATGGTTTCAGGTAAATAGGAATATTCATGCATATCATTCGTTTTTGTCTCTTATGCAAAATATAAAGTTCTCTTCTTGCTTGTTGGCTGTTTGATTTGATTAGCAGTGTGAAGCTGGCAGTCTTCCGTTGGGGATATCATTAGGATTGATTCATTTGTCTCTTTTATTGAAGGAAAAGTGTACTGCTCTTTGACGCACTCCATCAAAAATATTTTACATCAAGAAGTTTATCTTCTCAATCTTTGCTGGGGGAAACATTTGAAGATATATGGCTATTTGAGATTTTTGCTAATTGATTTTTTATGCTTCAAATATTTTTATTGGTTGACTGAGATGAATTTTTATTAGATTAGTAGATATATATGGATATTAAAAATATACTATTTCAGAACAGTATCAAGACAAATAGAACATTTCCTTAAATAAATTGATATTAGATAATGTGAACCTACCAGCACCCTATCTTAAGCTCGATATACGTTTGAGAGGACTTTCTTATCAAATGGGTCTTATTGAATAACATTTGTGCATCTATAAACTTGAATAACACTGGTACAATTAGAGGATTTTAAATACTGTGGGTATATGTCAGAGGACTTTTTACATAGACTGTCTTTCGAGCTCACCGTTTCTGCTTGCAGTAAACCTTAAAAATATTAAGTCAATTAGAAAATCTCCTTGTATACAATGTTTCTAGCGACATTTTCTTCGGGACAATCTGAATCATCAATCAGAACCTTCAGGCCATTTCGGTTTGTGACTCTAGAGAATGCTACCGCCCTGTTTGGGGGAGCTTCTCCCAGCTGCAGCTTTTCCCAAAAGCTGCTTCTGCTAGAAGCTGCCTCAAACAGTCCACAGCTTCTGAGAATCTGCAGTTATAGATTCTGAAAAATGAACTAAGAAGCCAGAAGCTGGGTTTCAGAGCTTTTCCAGATTCTCAAAAGCTGGCTACCAAACAGCTGCTTCTCGGAATCTAAAGCTCCCCAAACAGGCCCCCATGGCAGAAGACTTGTTTAGGTAGATATAAACCAACCTTGTTCAGGGACTGGCCTTGGCTTTTATTTATGGTCATTGCGAAGCAAACTAATAGAGGATGTTGTCTTCTTTTCAGGACAAATGGCCAGTTGGTGTCGCTCGGTGACATGATGATTGTATGTATACCTTGTCGTCCACATGTGTACCTGTTATGATCTGTGCTTCGATGTATTTCTTACCTAACTGTGTGATTGTCATTCTCGTGCCGTTGCATAGGCCTGCAGTTTGGTTGATGTTACGAAGTAGCATGACAGGCAGGCCTACTTTAAGCTTAAGTTCGTGGTTTGGTATTCCAGGGAATTTCAACGTGTTGAGGAACTCGGTAGGATACATGTGCTCCATGCTACTGTTGTTTGTCATCGCTTTGCAAACGGTGTCACAGCTTAGGTATGTCATTTCTTCTCGTTGTATTTGGTTCATTATGTACTCATTAATTTCCTGGACTGTTTCGTTTCTTGGGCATAGGATAGCTCTTTCCTCTAGAAATTCTCTTTCACGGTAGTTGTCCAGCAAGTTTGGATAAATGCTTTTGACGATTGTTTCTTTTGGGTCTTGTCCTTTTTGTAGTAGGATATCACTTGGGATTTTTACCCATTCCTCTCCTTCATCTGATGCTGATGCTCCGTCACCGATATGTAGAATCCACTTAGCGAATTCAGCGACCTTTTGCTTCTCTAGCGGTTCATTGGACATGCAGCTTAGTCGCATGTTTTCTGTTAGTTTGATAATTTCAAAGTGATTCCAGAGGTATGAGCGTTTGATTGATGCATTCACTATATTCTCTCTCCTTCCCTTTGGAATCACCGGAAGGATCTGTCTAAAGTCCCCGCCCAATACAACTGTCATGCCGCCAAATGGCCTTTCACTGCTGTTTTCATTAGTGAACCTCATTATATCTCTTAGGCTTTTGTCCAATGCTTCAAAGCAATGCTTGTTTGCCATCGGAGCCTCATCCCATAGTATCAGTGATGTCCTTTTTAGTAGTTCGGCCAAATGGGTTCCTTGCTTTATTTCGCATGTTGACTCTTCCGTGATCTTTATTGGAATGCGAAATCTTGAGTGTGCCGTTCTCCCACCTTGGAGTAGAAGTGCTGCAATACCACATGAAGCAACTGCAAGGACTATCTTCCCCTCGGATCTTAGTTTTGTCGTGAGTGCTTTCCATAGGTATGTTTTCCCTGTCCCGCCATAGCCTTCCACAAATATTTGCTTTCCTTGCCCTCCGTTGATAGATTCCATTATCGCATCGAAGGCTTTTTTCTGATCTGTGTTAAGGCTGTTTAATATGGCGAGGTGCTCATCCTTCAGTTGGTCTTTGTCATAGTTAAGCTCTTCGTTTATAAGTCTGTTACCAAGTTCCTCTATCTCGGCAGCATTTGGTAGCTCTATGTCTGGGTAGTCCCTTAGCGATTTTCCTGCTTGTCTCATTAGTTTCTCTATTTCGATCAAGGCATATGCTTTCTTCTGTGAATCTGTTAACCGCAGCGTTGGAAAGTTTAAGATTATTCTTCTCTTGTACTGCATGTCCTCGGATTTTTTAGTATTCGCCTTTTGCTGGTTTTCACCAAAAATTTTGGTCATAACAAAATCTGCTATTTTGGGTCTCATTTCGGCATCCAGCAAAATGTAAGGTGGAGGCGGTGCAGTGGTTGGGTCACGGATCGGCCAGGGTGGCGAGCCTGGGGGAATCGGCGGGCAGGCAAAGGTTGGTTGACGCTGTTTTTCTTTTCAATTCCTTTGCATGAATTATATGTTTGGATGCTTCATGTGCAATCGGTTGCAAAATTAGGTCTGTATATACAGAGATGTGATAAAAAATCATAAATAAAATAACAGATTGCATAGTAATATATCTCAGTTTATGCATATACAACATTCGACTATTATAATACAGTACATGTAATGATCTGTATTGACTATGAACTATTCTTTCTAGCTAGTATCATTAACTGTAGGATATTCTATCGAGCTACTGCTAATTATGAACTATTATCATGAGCTCTAAGCACTATTTGTATACTTAGAATTCATTTTCCTTGTTCTCTGAGGCCTTGTGTTGCATGCTTTATTGTCTGATTGAACACATGTTTTCTGACGTTTTTCAACAGAGCTTTCCTTGCCTATGCCATTGATGGTTTTAGCCTATCTTTTTCCTGCCTTGATGGATTCTTCAACAACTGATTTGTTTATTTCATGGCTGTAGGTGTCATTTCTGATTTCCGCCTTTGTGGATTTTGCATGAGCGCCTTTTGCATTTTTGCCTCGAACTTTTGCATCTACGCATTTTATCATACTTGTTTCATTGCTCTCCTCTTCTGAATCGTCTTCTATTATGTATGACCTCCGTCTTATTTGTTTGCAACTGGGAGGTTTGTCAGACGAAGTGAGTTCATCTTCACTCGTGATTTCCTGGTCACTATCCTCTAGCTCTTGCTTCACGGGTAGCAGTGAGATGGATCTGTTTTTAATAAGAGGGCCGCTGCTGGTTTGTTCCTGCAAAGGCAATGAAGTATTTGTCATATGTGCTATATATTATAAATAAATGAAAATTTGTATTATATGTTCAAATACCTGTTGATTTGTCTCTCTATCTTGTTTTAGTATGTTATCCACATCGTCGTCCATTAACTCCTGTAAAATCATAATGCGGAAACATTTCAGAAATAAAATTTTCAAGATTTTGTGTTGTAAAAAATCAGTAGTAGCCTGCTTTACCTCTTCAGCCTTATTAATGAGGTATTGCTTCTCAAGCATATAATCAGGCACAAATGTCTTTTTGACAACATAGTTTGGTGTGCCTTCAGTCAGATTTTGTTCACTGAGCTTGAACTTGAAGATGAGTTGTTTTCCACAGAGTTGTTGAATAATGTTAGGAATTTCGTCGTTTTTGCCATCTAGTAAATTGAGTAATGATGAGACAGGTGTCTCTAGCATGCTTTGTGCCACATCATCAAATATAGTGCAGCTTGTAGATGTCGTATGATCACTTATTTGGAGTCGTAGTCGGTACCTAATATGAAATTATGGTTAATGCAAAAAAAATTATTACATAAGTATTGTTATTTACAAAAGATGAAGTATTCTTACCTAGGCGTTGTATTTTCTGGATATTTATTGCAGTTCCTGCAATGGTATTTGTCGTTTTTCTGAATAACTATTTTATTACAAAGATTGCACGACATGTACCACCATTGAATATTTTCTTGTACTCGATCAATCGTAACTATTGATGTAAACACAAATTCCTGCAATTTATGAAAATTTTTTAAGGATATATATATAATTGCCAATAGCAGAGTATATTAAGATAAAATTTACGTAGGAAAGTTGTAGGAAAGTTTGATGTTGCCATTACCTGACTTCCTGGGTTACGATGCCGCATTTCTTTGTTCCTCCCTTGTTCCTTGTGTACTCTTATCTACTTCCATCACTTTTGGTACTGTTTCTTCGGAGGATTGTCTATAAGGCATAAATATTTGAATCAAAGAAGGATTTATATTATGTTACTAGAAATTCTCATATTAATTGAAGAAAAAGAAAAACAGATCCATATAGAAATTCAATTTAAAAATAGCTGAAATTCGGAATTAAAAATAAGAAATATTGAAAGAGGAGACTAGAGTCCAAATAGAAATACAATTAAGAAATAATAGAAATTCGAAATTAAAAATAAGGAATATTAGAAGTAGAGTATAGAGTCCATATAGAAATACAATTAAGAAATAGTAGAAATTCAGAATTAAAAATAAGGAATGTTAGAAGTAGAGTATAGAGTCCATATAGGAATTTAAAACTAAGTAAAATTCGAAATAAACATAATAAAATTAAAACTAGAGTTCAGAGTTCGTATAAAAATACAATTTACAAATAACTAAAATTCAAAATTAAAAAAATGGGAAGAAGAGTCTAAAGTCAATATAGGAATACAATTTAGAAGTAACTGAAATTCAAAATTAAAAATTAAAAAATATTGAAAGATGAGTTTACACTACTAAAAAACTCTCATAGAGACCGGTTCATAGGTGCCGGTTCATTTAAAACCGGCACCTATAGAGCTTTTCCTACCTCCTTGCGGTGAAAAAATGTAGAACCGGCACCTTTAAGAACATTTGAACCGGCACCTATAATATAGATGCTGGTTTTTTAAAAGAACCGGCACCTAATAATTTTTATAGGGGCCGGTTGTTTTTAAAAACCGGCACCTATAGCGTTTGGCCGAGCCGATTCGAGCCGAGCCCACGCACGGCACCCATCGCGTCCTTATCTATCCCTCCCCTTCTCGATCTCTCGCGTCTCTCTAACTCTGCTCTCTCTCTCTCTCTCGCTGTCCTCTCTCTCCCTCCCCTCTCCCGCCGTCTCGCGGTCGGCGGCTGGCCAGCGGAGGCGGCAGCAGCGGCCGCGCCCTCCCCTCCGCCAGATCCGGCGGGAGGGGAGGCGGTGGGCTCCCGCGGCGGAGGCGGCAGCGGCGACCGCGCCCTCCCCTCCGCCAGATCCGGCGGGAGGGGAGGCGGCGGGATCCCGCGGCGGAGGCGGCAGCAGCGACCACGGCGGCAGCCGCCGACCACGGGCTCCCATGGCTGGCCGGCGGAGGCCTCGCAGCGGCGGCCACGGGGTTGGCCACGGCGGAGGCGGAGGCGGCGGCGGCCGCGACCTCCCCTCTGCCAGATCCGGCCGCCCGGTGTGCCACGGCTTGGCGCCAGCGAGGTGGGCAGGCAGCGGGTGGCGGGTGGCGTGCCACGGCTTGGCGCCAGCCGCTAGGGCCCAGGGGCGAGGGCGCACCGGCGCGGGCAGGGGCGCAGGGTAGCGAGCGCCGAGCCGCCGACCAGGGCCACAGCGGCACGGCCGGAGCCGCACATCGCCCCTGAACACATCGTCACAGCCACACAGGTGAGTAGCCTGAGTATTGAGTTTGAGTATTGAAGATTTGAGTACTAAAATTCACTGATTGGGATTTGGGAACTGAAACTCACTGATTTATCTAGTATACAGTTTAGTTGGCGGCGACAGGGTAGGGGGACGGCCAGCGAGGATGACTGGGATTGAGCGAGCTCCGTTGCTGCTGGTTGCCTGCTCTGGCTTCTCAAACATCTCAAGCAAAAGTAAGTGAATTTTACTTAAATTTTTTATTCTAGCATTATTGAGTTATTCATAGTTTCACACTTAGGATTTAACCATTTAGGAAAGTAGGAAGTTGTGCTTCAGTGCTTGTGCAATGGTTTAGACGCTTAGTGTGTATGTACCAGGATTTTAGGAGCTTGTGCACCAGTGCAATGACTTGATTTCTGAAAATAGTAGTACAGTCGGCTATTAAATTTTCAGTTCTGAAAATGAAGAAGAAAAGGGGGATGCCATTGATTTGAAGGCTTTTTTGTGTTATCAATTCTATGAAGCTATGAACTTAAGCTCAATTTTGTGTGAATATGTGATGTGTATATACCGTACAACCACTCGGTGTTATACAACACAATTATTAGGCTTTTGTGTATAAAAATTATTAGGCCATTGTTATCTGCTCTTAAATTTTATGTTTGTCTGGCTCAACTATGGTTTTATGATATATATTTCCATTGGTTTTACTGAAATCGATAGAAATATATGATAAGCTCAAAAACTTACCAGTTCAACTAATATCTGTAGGCAACTCTTATTATGGAAAACATGCATCTTCATATACTTCCAACGATGAACCCTGATGGATTTGCTCTTAGAAGACGTGGTAATGCAAACAATGTTGACCTCAACGGAGATTTTCCTGACCAAGTCAGTGATGCATTATTTTCTTCTTATGGAATATTTCCTTTTGTTCTTTACCTACTTGAGCCATTCAATTAAATTGTTAATGCTGGCAGTTTTTCCCCATCAATGATGGAATTAACTACAGACAACCTGAAACTAGAGCTATTATGAACTGGGTAAAACAAGAACACTTCACTGCCTCCGCTAGTTTGCCTCCGCTAGTGCTGTGAGTTCATTGTGCAGAAATTTACATGCAGAAATGAGGCCTATAAGTTTTGATGCAATCTGATTTTTATCTGTTGATGCAATCTGAAATCTGAAATTTCGTTATGCCCATAGGCCCTATGCACAATATACTTGTCAAACTCATTTTGTACTTGTCAAACTCAAGTGCTGAACCTTTGCTCAAAACTGCTTTAAACTGAAAATCACCCTTAAAACCTTATAGGGGTCATTATTCCAATTAGATAACAAAAGGAACATTTTTAAATGGTAAGGTTCATCAGCAAATTTATACCATTTGAAGTTTCCCTTCAATACCAGATGCAATTTATGTCAGTTATTTTAGCATGACTTATCATCAATTCTGTTTTTAGCAAATTTATATTTCTCTCACTCTCTCTCTCTCATTCAGTCATATAAATTCCAAGAATCATGATTCTGGAAGGGAGAAAACTTGTGCACCCAGTGTTGGACATGGAAACAAGATTAACAAGGTGATGCCTTGCTTTATTATTTCAACTTAATTTCTCTCAAGTTAACTTTGTATTGCCTTTGTTTGAAAGTATGGAATTGATGTAAACATTTGGAGATGGAATTGATGTATGATAACTTGAATGTGTGGAGATGGATTGCATTTATGTGTGTATGTTTGGAAATTTTTGGATTTGGGGTGATGTGAATCTGTGAATTGATGTTTGGAGATGGATTACATATATTCTGTGAATTGAAGTGGGTTTTTGTGTGTACGGTGGATTGATGTGAATGGACATACTGAGAACCGGCTATATTTTTTTTTGGGTTACATGATTATGGGTGCCGGTTATTGCCATTAACAGGCACCTATGTGGTATAATAGGTGCCGGCTATAAACATAGAATCGTCACCTATAGGCGTGCGAGCGCAGCCCTTGGACCATTATAGGTATCGGTTTTTCATCGAAACCGGCACCTATAAAACACATAGGTGCCAAACAGGTGCCGGTTTGGGAACCAGCACCAATGTAAAATCATTAGTGCCGACTAATTGGTGCCAGCACCGAAACCGGCACCTATTAGGCTTTCCGAACCGGCACCTATAACACTTTATATAACACTTTATACTTTATGTACTAGTGTTAGAGTCCACATAGAAAATAGAAATAATAAAAATTCAGAATTAAAAATAAATAATATTGGAAGAAGAGCCTAGAGTTTATATAGAAATACCCAGATAACGAAAATACGAAATTAAAAAAAGAAATATTCAAAGACGAGTCTATAGTCCATATAAGAATATAATTTACAAATAACTTAAATTTGATATTAAAAATAATTAATAACTAACACGTATATAAAATACAATATAAATATTACACATTAGTAGTTTCGTAAAATTAGTATGAAATTTAAAATTATGTTGTCATTTTAATATATTTGAATAATACATTAAGAAAACATATATGCTATTATATGAGAGAAAATATAATAATGCTAGTCGCGTAATTTGTATGGACCACCATGCTAGTTAAGTTAATAGATTCAACGGTTGGATTAAAGTTGTACTACACTGCTACCACTAACAGTAGTGGGTACCGTAAAAGCACTAGTGGCAGGAAACTTCTGAAGATGTCGTCAGTGGCCGCGGCGTGACAGTAGCATATACGCATGCATATATACGACACGAGCGCGCAGACAACCAACTAACGCCAGTTTGAGAAAAAACTTTTCGTTAGTAGTCGTGCCACTGCTGTAGAAGAATACATGCGTGAAACGTGGAAGAATTTTTTTATTTTCCAAGCTGGCTAATCATTTGAATGAAATAGTCTGACGTTGATTACAGGCACGCGCTGCCATTTCCTATAAATACATTCATTCTGTTTGATCAGATGGCCATCTCATCCTCTCAGGCAAAGCAGCTGCTTAGCTAGCCACTGTTGAGTAATTACAGACGATGTGCTTACACAGAAAACCATACATACTCACGTACAATTTTCTCAGTTAGCCCTGTTTTCTTACACTAAAATTGGTTCGAATATCGTGCGTCCGGCGATGGGTATTGCCAAAATACCTGCAGTGCTCTGGTTATTAGCATGTGCGGTGTTAACATTTGCAGTTGCAATTAGCCCGGCTCACGGCGGCAGGACTCGCCGCCACTACGATTTCTTTGTAAGTGATGTACTACTTCACTGATCCACAGTGACAGTAGTGTGATGGTCTGATGGATCGGATAGGGCATGAATAATGCACGAAATGACCTTTAACCATGTATGATGCTCTGCAGATTACGGAGACCAACTACAGGAGGCTCTGCCACGAGAAGAGCGTCCTCACCGTGAACGGGCAGTTCCCCGGGCCGACCATCTACGCGCGCAAGGGCGATCTCGTCATCGTCAACGTCTACAACCACGGCAACAAAAACATCACCATCCACTGGTAAATCATGTTCTTCGTTGTTGCCACTTGCCAGTTGCTACAGCGAAACGCCATGATCGATCCATATGTCGAAACTTACAATGCAATGTTCGCGATCGATGACTAACAATTAACCGTACGTAGCGCAGGCACGGCGTGGACCAGCCGCGGAACCCATGGTCGGACGGGCCGGAGTTCATCACGCAATGCCCGATCCGGCCGGACGGCAAGTTCACCTACCAGGTGATCATGTCCGAGGAGGAGGGCACGCTGTGGTGGCACGCGCACAGCGACTTCGACCGCGCCACCGTCCTCGGCGCCATCGTCGTCCACCCCAAGCACGGCGACACCTTCCCCTTCAAGAGGCCAGACAAAGAGATACCCATCATCCTCGGTACGTACGCATTCGCGACGACCATTAATTAACGGAATCTTAATTAGCTTGTTTGATGCATGTATATATCGATCGTATAACCGTTTGATCTGAACTAATTATTTCTATGGGTTTTGCAGGTGAGTGGTGGAAAAACGATGTGAACCACCTGCTCGAGGAGATGAAGCGCATTGGGGAAGACGTCAAGCCGTCTGACGCGAACACAATCAACGGCCAGCCCGGGGACATGTTCCCCTGCTCCAGGGACGACACCTTCAAGGTTGCCGTGGAGCACGGCAACACGTACCTGCTCCAGGTCATCAACGCGGGGCTCACCAACGACATGTTCTTCGCCGTCTCCGGGCACCGCCTCACCGTTGTCGGCATCGACGCCCGCTACACCAAGCCGCTCACCGTCGAATACATCATGATCGCGCCGGGCCAGACCATGGACCTTCTCCTGGAGGCCAACCGCAGCTTGGGGTCCAAGTCCAACAGCAGGTACTACATGGCCGCGAGGACGTTTATCACGTTACCCGTCCCCATCCCCTTCAACAACAGCACCGCCACGGCCGTCGTGGAGTACTACACCGGCGACAGCGGTGCCGGGCCACCGGACTTCCCCGCCGTCCTGCCGTCTCTCGACGACGTGGACGCGGCGATGGCATTCCTCAGGCAGCTCAGGTCCCTTGGCAGCAAGGACCACCCGGTCCACGTACCGACGCACGTCGACGAGCACATGCTCATCGACCTCGCCATCAACTTTCTCCCCTGCAACGCCACCAACGCAACCGACACGGCGTGCAAGGGACCCAAGGGCAACACTACGCGTTTCGCGGCGAGCCTCAACAACGTCAGCTTCGTCAGCCCGGCCATCGACGTCCTTCACGCGTACTACTACGGCAGCGGCCGCGGCGTGTACGAGGACGACTTCCCTAACAACCCGGCGCCCGTCTTCGTCAACCTCACCGGCGACAACGACAGGCCCGGGGTGACGAAGCACGGCGCCAAGGTGAAGGTGCTGGAGTACGGCACCGTGGTGGAGGTGGTGTTCCAGGACACGTCCTTCGAGAGCCACCCAATGCACCTCCACGGCTTCGCCTTCTACGTCGTGGGACTAGGGTCCGGTAAGTTCGACGACCGCAGGGACCCGGCCACCTACAACCTGCTCGACCCGCCGTACCAGAGCACAGTCTCCGTGCCCAAGGCCGGCTGGGCCGCAATCCGCTTCCGCGCAGACAATCCAGGTAACTTTTTTTCTGATGATTCCTCTTTTGGTTTCTGTGAATTATGCTATTATTATGCTTGTATCAAAGAGTTCATGTCCAGTTTTCTTTTTTTAAATTAAAATTTTTTTTCATGTTTATTTTGATTGTTCAGGTGTGTGGTTCATGCATTGCCATTTTGATCGACACATGGTGTGGGGAATGAATACTGTGTTCATCGTGAAGGATGGCAAGACGCCACAGGCTCAGATGCTGCCTCGTCCTCCAAACATGCCCAAGTGCTAATGACCATAGTTCATGGAAAATGATAGCATATATTGTGCAACACAAGTGTCCATGCCTAAGTGTTGATTGCAACACAATGCAACATGCAAGCGGAAATTTGTTTATTTTGCTTATTGGTTTAGCGTGGTTCTTTTTTTTCATTGCTTAGGCATTGGCTAAAATGATCTCCCTTTTTCCTTGTTTGGCTGAAAAAGGTGAAGCTATTCTGTTATATATGTCTTGTAATTGTTTTCATTAATCGTTTCGTCATATCATATAAGTTCGATATTTTTGTTATTCAATCTATGAATATAATAAACCTTTTTTTCTTGCAGTGGATTAGTATGGTGTCCCTCTTTTTTAACACATGCACCCTTGCTATCTTAGGTATTCCATTTTCAGTGATGGAACCATATAACATGGGTTTAGTTCTTTTTTGCAATTTAATGTTGACGCGTCTTCAGTGTTAGGCACTAAACTAAGTATCTGCAAACTACAAAGGGTCTCACATGTAATATAGGCAACTTTTTTACTAAATTTGCTGAACCAGGTGATAAGAAAAGGATGACATTTTTTAACAATCTTTATCATGGAACAATGATATTCAATCAGTATTTTTGTGTTTTTAAGATAACTCGATTTTTTTTCGTAGTGCTACTTTAAGACATCCTTGAAATGAGAAGGCCTTTGGCCCCATGATGTCCCGCCACTTGATTAAGTTACACAACTTCTAAAGCAACCCCTAATACTAATGAACACTTGGTTCTTATTTATAACCCTTAAAACCCTAAAAGACTAAAGCATATAAGTTCATAGTAGTAATAACTGTTAGGAAAAAAGTATACGTGATGAATTTCTTACCTGACATTATGGTTGGTAGGCTAGACAACCGTAGCTCGAATCCTCTCGTTTTTAAACACGCCGTGTGATGGAAATAAAGTATCACATGGTGAAATGGCCAGATTTGCCATGTCCTAAAGTGTTTGGTGGTGTTGGTTTAACAGAAACAAGGATGCTGAATTCTGCCCTTCTTGCAAAATGGCTGATGAAATTAGATCTTCAGATGAGAGTTTATGTGTGGAACTTCTGAGAAGGAAATACCTACAGGAGGGAGGTGTTTTCCAATTCAACAAAGAGAGTTGTTCTCAATTTTGGAAAGGTCTGTTTTTTTTAAAAAAACCTAAGGTGGAACTTTGTTTCACTTTTATATTTAGAAGAAGAGAATTAGCTCAGTTTATAAGGAAAATCGGACCTGAAAACCATACAATTGCATGGTTAATTACGGGAAACCGGCTGAAACCCACCACACAGTAAAAAGCAAGGGAGCTAGCTACACAACTAACAACAACGACGGAGCCCAAACGCAGGACATCGCTGCCAAGCTAAACACAAAAGCGACACAACAGCTTCAACATCGCAGAAGAGGTGTTATCGTTGCCGAGCTAGCCGTCCAAGCGACCCAGCAGCGCCGATTTCACAACCGCAGCGACACTGAAGCAACGAAAATCGCCAGAGCGAAAAGCAGCTCCGACATCCAACAGTGGATATCGGCCAAGCCACCGAAGAGCCACTGCCTTAGCATAAAAGAACGATAACACCATTCAAAACAGTTTGGTGAACCTGACAGCAGATTGACACCCAAACCGTTTTAGGATGCTATACATGTTCCACCGAGTCACGTGGCCCTTGAAAAGCAGAAACATTGATATGGATTTCTCTACAGCCTGCTGAGTCATACTTGTGAAAGATGACGGCTAGTGTTTGTACTTTCAATAAAACGCTATTTCTCTTCAAAACCCGGCCCCCAAAAAGCACTAGAGCAAAAGCCTTTGCGGTCAAAGAAAAAACAAAAGAATTGAGCCTGGTTCCGGCGCATCCCAACTTGCTGTCTACTCGTGGAAGCAGCGGGCTGTCTCACATGGCACCTAGTCACAAAAAGTGTTAATTGCTACAAGCGGACGCAGCTCTGTTATGCATTAGAGATATAGAAAAAGAGAATTTTTACGGTACATTTTTACTGTAAATATATACTACCAGTATATTTAATCTAACGGTGCAAATTAATCTGATCTTCCTCTAAATTATTCTGCCCTATAAATTAAATAGGGCATATTTGTCTTTTTCATGTATTTGCGTGGGGGGTAATTTTGTAAATTCAAATTTTGCACTTAGTAAGATCCGGTTGATAGGCGCGCAGTTGCGGCAGCTCGCAGCGGCAAGGGCAGCCGGGCGACGGCAGGTGGAAGCAGCAGGGCGGCATGCGGCAGCAGCAGGGCAGGGAAGCCCGTCTGCGGCGATAGACTATAAGTAATGCACAAATCACAAATTAATAGTTATCGCTAGAGATTGACGGAAGCAAGTTCCTGGAAGCAGACAGCTGCTGCCGAGCCCGACGGCGGCGATAGTGCTGCGCACGACAATGGCAGTACTGTGGCTTCGCTCCCGGCGGAGGCTGTGTCGCTTCCAGCTCCGGCGGCGGCGACAGCGTCGTTGCGTACGGCAGCGGCTGGGCGGCGCTTGTGGGAGCCACATGCGAGACAACGTGAAGGCGGCTGCCGGTGACCCGGCGTACTGCGTACAAAGTAGACTTGCGTACAAAGTAGACTGGATTGGTATCATGAACGAACGACGAGATCGGAAAAATACCACCGATAGAAAAAAAATCTCCATGGAAAAAAATCTCAATTAAAAATGACTAAATAACCATTTTAAGATTTTTTAACAAATACCAAATCTACCCTTTCATATACTGCAAGAATATACTTCAAGTAGAATTTACTTTAAAAGTCCTCCGGAAAAAAGCTGCTCGATTAAGGACCCAGCTGGTTGCCACGAGCTAAGCTAAAAATATTCTCCATGTACTACCGAGATGGGTGGTTGGGACTAGAATAAATAAAGATTAATTAGGGCAAAGTGACCATTCCTACAGTATTTAACACATGCATTTGTACGTAGAACAAAGGCGAAAGCGTCAAGCTTTTGTGAATGGATGGAGGTAAAATTGGGTGAAAATTAAATGCGATAATGGTTGGTGGGGGAAATATAGTGCTCTAAAGATCCTTACTTGTGAACAAATTTTAAACGCAAGAAGTGCTTATAATTTAAAACATAGGAAGTAATTTTAAAGTTAGCTCTGTTATTAAACTAGCTATATACTCCATCGTTACAAAATATAATGCACAACTATTTTTTCGATGTTTCATAATATAAGACATGCATGCAAGCAAACAATTAACTAGCACCTCCTTTCCACTAAATTATTATTTAAATCCTCAACTCTCAATATTTCTAATTCTGTTAGATGCATACATTGTATTTATTAGAGTGATTCAAATGAGAAGGTAATAATAAATATTTCTTGATCTTTGGGTTAAGAGTGGTTATGCCTTATATTCTAGAATGGAGGGAGTATATGAGTCAACTTTTAATCAGCCAAAGTCTACATTTTATCGTTTTCTTTTTATATAGCTAGCTGGTACTGTGGACCCCCGTTTTTATAACAGGAATCAATCGTGTAAACCGTACCATTTCCCTGGATCAAGTAGTCTGGTACACACGAATCCATAGCTGAAGTACCAAGTGCACATACACGAGTACGAATTATTACATCATAAGCCCGCAGGCATAGTCTTAAATCATCGGACCGAGTGGTCTGGAATACATCCCAAAAACAGAAGAAGGTAAGGCAGCGGAGTTAAGGCAGCGGCACGCCATTTCCACAGGCAACGACCGTACTAAGACCTATTGAGCGCCGTCGTCTTCATCACCCTCCTGGTAGTAGGCATAGGGGTCCTCCGAAGCTTCATCCCCGGCCTCTGATTAAGTTTATAGTTGCAAGGGTGAGTACCAACCGTACTCAGCAAGCCACCACAGCAACAATGCACATGATAGGAGTATTTCAAGGAATGGCTATGGTTCTTTTGCGCAAAGCAAGTTTTGTAATTCTTTTCGCAAGCCTAAGACCTAGCATAGACTGATCAAAATTTAGTACCAGTGTTCATATTAAACAATGACGGTTCTGTCCACCATCCATTGTGATCCCAAGGATAGCTTCCCGCCATTGAGTTGTCATGGTTTTCTGAGGGCATCCACCTTCCCGCCTCTCAGGAAGTGGCTCCAACAGCATAAAAATCATCATGCAATATCCCATCCCACACAAGTTAAGAATCTAGAATCTAGCCAAGTGTAATACATGTCCCGGTGCTCAATAACCGCGAGCACGGCTATTCGAATAGATTTGGTTTACTCACACTGCAGTGGATGTACACTTTACCCGCACTCCGCAACTGCCCAACACATGTGCCTCGTCCCAACACATGAGACGCGTCACGGCAAAGCTTTTTGATAACCTCGCATTGGCAGTATCCGCTCCATGAACTTAAATCCTCATGCACTCTAGGTGTCCATGTTTCTAGCAGTGAGAGGAGTTCTGGCGCTCCTAGGAAGGAGAAGTCTCACACACATATTAAATTATAGTTCAAGTTAAGTTCTCTCTCACACACACTCATGGCAGTCCTACCAATGGCGACACCGATGTAGGGCACACCTCTCGGCCCTACCTCAACGAATGTCCCACCGTAGCGCACCTGCCTCACTCAGGGGTGAACCATCTATGCAGGGATACTGTCTCCGCTCGGCTATTTACTCCGCTAGGTCTATACCCATACGAGAAGCGCGGTTGTACGGGGGTCGTTTCATACTTAGCTTCATGGCTCGGTCCTTAATTGACCGGGGACGGTACTAGCCTTTTCCAGATACCATCCAAATCCTCCGTCCGCCCCAGTCGAAAACAGTTGTTTAGTTTATTTCTCCTTTCACAAATCATGTCACCAATATCATGGCAATGTGGCGCTCATGTCTCCACATGCCGCATCTCAATTACCTTCCCAAAGGTAATTGCCCAAGTATATAGCATTTGATAAATATGAGTATGCATAAATCTAGAGTAGCATTTCTAAGCAATTGTTATAATCGACTAGGGACTCATACGTAAACATGGTTACGAAGGAATAAGGGTAAACAATAATCAAGGCATGACATAATCACAAGTAGGATGTTCATCATTGCATGCAATTTTATTTGTAAGCAAAACAATTTCGCAATTGGGTTCAACATGTTCAAAGAATAGTGATGACTTGCCTTGCTCAAAGTCTTGCGGGTCTTGGTCCTCGCTTGGATCCGCAACTCCCTCGGGCTCTAAAATTACGTGCGAAGAAACGATTTGAATTCAGTTAGAATTCAAATAAAAATCCAAATAAATCCAAATGGAAGTCGAATGCGAAAGTTGATTCTTTTATATTAACTTTACTATTCACAAACTAGGGCAAACCAATTTCGATTTTAAATATCCTAAACTATTTTGCGAGTATAAATATTTTGTTATCATAAGTTTTTTTTTAATTTAATCTACCCGAACATTATATCCATATAATAGGTTAGAAATTTCTATCGCGAGCTAAATATCGGACGGAATCCTAAAATTATCTTATAATATTATACGATTTAATTTAGTCTATGACTAAATGATTAAATATAATATACGTCTAAAATTCCTAGCGATTAAATCCAAATTTCTACCTTCAATCGATTACTTATAGAGATTATCCAAAAATAATCTATAATAGTCCATAAAGATTCATCTAGTTGTTAATTACATCTAAATTACTACCGCGAATTGATTTCTTTTAGAAATTACCAAGAATAATTAAATTTTGCAATTCTACGACCATAATTAATCTATAATTAAATTCTAATTATTTTAAATTTTCTAAACTATTAACCTCCCTAATTTCTTCCAAATTTTCTATTTATTTTTCTTTTTCCTTTTTCTCCCTTTTCTCTTTTCTTTTCTTTTCTTTTTCTTTCTTTTCTCTCTTTCTCTTTTTCTTTCTTTTCTCTCTTTCTCTCTCTTCCTCTTCTCTTTTCTTCTCCCTCTCTCTCTCGGCTCTCCCTCCTACCCGAGCGGCGTCGGCGGTGGACGCAAGGGGGAAGGAGGGCGGCACACCGGCAGCGGTAGCGGCGACGACGGCGGTGGCGACGGTGGCGCACGGCGGCACAGAAGCGGCGGCACGGGAACGGCGGCACGGCGGCGCGGGAACGGCGACGCGGCGGCACGGGAACGGCGGCGCAGTGGAGAGGGGAGAGGGGAGGAAGGGTGAGATGGGGTGGGGGAGAATGGAGAGAGGGGGGGTATTTGTAGAGAGGGGAGGAGGAGAGGAGGAGGGGCGGCGGCGTAATGGCGACGCGACGGCGGTGCACGGGGCGGGACGACGGCGACGCGCGGGCGGCGACGCGATGGCGGCGTGGGGCTCGGAGCGGCAATGCGACAGGTGGCGCGGGGCTCGACGCGGCGACGCGACGCGCGAGCGCGGGGCGCGAGGCGGCGATGGCGACAGGACGATGGCGCGGCGACGGGACGGGAGCGCGGCGGCAGGCGGGCGCGCGGCGCGGCGACAGCGTGGCAGCGGCGGCGCGGGGCGCGAGGCGGCGGCACGGGGCTCGAGGCGGCGGCACGGGGCGCGAGGCGGCGGCACGGGGCTCGAGGCGGCGGCACGGGGCGCGAGGCCGACGGCGACGCGACGGCGACGATGATGACGGCGGCGCGGCGGGCGAGCGGCGCGCGGGCGGCAAGGGAGGTGTTAGGGCTAGGGACGCGATCGAACACCTTCGCCATGATGAACAGTGCATTTTCTTATTTATTCCGATTTTAGTTTATTTCCCGTATAAATTTGATTCTATAATTCCTAATCTTTGCATCCATGAATTTTACTCAACATTTGTGTTATTCCAACTAATGGATTCACTCAAAATTAATATTACCCATTTTTTTTATTTTTATATAATTTATTTGAATTTTTAATTAGGGTTAATTCTTATTCCATCGTATTTAAATTTAATTGATACAAATATGGTTGCGATAATATTTTATTTATTTCTATTATCAACAAATCTTTATTTTAAATTATATTCTAATTTATCTGTGTTGCCATTTAATTTTAGGATTTATCCTAAATAATAATTCCTTATTCGCGTCCGGTGAACACCGAAATTAAAATCTAATGAAATAAGCGAATAAAATCGGCATGATGCGATTTATTTAAAAAGTTTTTGAAGGCCCACATTTTCAGAGTTTAGATTTTTGTCGGTCGAATTTTCAGGATGTTACAGGTACCGAGATATAAATTGGTCAAATTAATTAGCTTGTCATCTGTCTGAGCCCATCATATCTGCTGTGTATTTCAAATTTTCTCTTCCTAAGGAGAACAAATTTCAAGACCCTGAAACAGATAATTCTCTGAATTATTGACACATATTATCTTATTAACATAATAAATTCATATTTTAAGAAATAAACTTCAAAAATAGTTTAGAATAAGTAGTCTAAGCAATATAGTAAAAATATATATATTTTTAAAAGCATGGAGCAAGTAATGCACGTCAATAATTGAGTAAACTAGCTTAAAAAAGGACCTAACTCCTAGTGCTAGAATAGAGTACCGCCCATCCTATGTGCTGTTTCCGGCTAGCGCTAGACTGCTAGAACCTTTTTTACCAAAAAAAATGAAAAAAAACACTAGAGCAACAGCCTTTCCGATCAAAAGAAAAACAAAAGCAATTGTGCTTTTTCATTTAAGACTAAAAAAAGTAATTCAGCAACAGGCTGTTCGCATCGTGATAAAGGGCGAAGGCCAGTAGGCCCAGGGAGGTGGACAGGCACCCGGGTCCTAAAGAATTCCAATGCTAAGCCATCATGTTTTTACAATGGGTGCACCCCCTTTGGCCCAACATGGTCAGGCCCAGAACAAATGTGGCCCATGAACAAAATAACGATGCAAAACTGACCGACCTGCCTTGGCTCTACTTCCTCGAAGTCTGCAGGAAGCCTCGCCATGGCCGAGGCTGCCGCCGCGCTCGCGACCGCCTCTCCAGTCATCGAGACCGGCAAGTTAGTGCTTCCTTCTAATTTGCTTTGATTATTCTAGATTTCTTTCAATCTACGTGATCACATGATTAAATTGCGTCTTAGGGAATCAATTTTTGATCATTGATCTTTTCCCCAATTTCTATGTTTAGGGTTTTAATTAAATTAGGTTTTGGGAGGAAAACTGCAAGTACCATATTTCTAGGGTCATGATTTTGGCCCACGGTTACACTACGGGCCTGTTCACTTTGATGCCAAAAAAAACTTTACCAAATTTTGGCATTGCCAAATTTTAGTATAGTTGTCAAAATTTTGGCAAACTTGTCAAAATTTTGACATGATTTCTTATATAGTTACCAAAATTTGGTAGCAAACTAAATGTAGCCACTTTTTTGGTAACTTTACCAAAATTTAGTAAGGTTGAAAATGACAGCAAAGTGAACAGGCCCTACATTATTACTGTTACATTAACAACTACTATCGGTTATTTTCATTTCTGTAAGCATTTTCGTTTTACCTAATTACTTATATTGAATTAGTGGTGCCAAATACAACCATTTGTTAAAATTAGTATAGTGTTTCGTTTTTTCTAAAACATAGTATAATGTTTCTCTTTTATTAAAAAAACAAGTCTAAAGTTGCTTCAAACGAATGTGTCATCGTACATGTGGTGAAGTGGGGCACCTTAAGAAAAGATACACTAGAAAGATACACGCGCTACGCTGCGTGCGTGCAATATATGGTCAATGGCACATAGTAGATACAAATCTCCGGTATATCATACAGACTATCCAGGGCAGCTTTCTGGGATCAGCGCAAAATGAAACCCCAAAGCTTCAACTCTTGTGACCATTGGAAGTTATCAATGGCGTCTTCCATTCTTTGTTCATCACAAGAAAAAATGCAGACAACAGCCTTGAGCCCTTGAGTCGATTACAGTAAAAGAATACACAAGCATCAACAATCATGATTAGTAGTAGGGTTTTCAAGTGAAAACCGCACCTCTGGGATTATCAAGATGCAGGCACCCGATGGCGGGCTGACTGTGGTACAGAGTCGGATCGTATAAGACTGTCAGCAGAAACTCGCTCATCTGTATATTGCTACAAAATGTCAGGCTTGACAACGCTGTTCAGTTACGAAATCCTAGAAATGTCTAGCCTCTATCTGTTTTATGCATGTGATCTGAAACCCCGCTAGAATCCGCTCTTGCTGGAGAACCCTTGTGCCTTGCAATGTTTCTACAAAACCTGCAAGTGGAATCAAGCAAATGTACTAAGATAATATGGGATGTAAACTGTAACTGATTTTGCACAAGTCAGTTGAAAAATGGTCCCAGGGAGGAAAGAACTAATTACATGTCCAACTCGTGTTTTTTTTTTGTTGATTTCATGGGACCAAAGGGCAGGATCAACATTCTTGGGCAGGGACTCCTGGAGTTGTGACCTCTCCCATAGCCATTGTTCGGCTTTAGTGCACTCCCTTTCAACCTGAACAGAAACCGATTGTCAGAATAACAAGTCAGCCACAGCATTGTTGTAATATGAATGTATGATGCTTTACACAAGACAAATACAAAAAGTAAAAGTTGGTACACATTTAATACTTTGAATATGCATCTATTAAAGTGCATTTTAAAACCATGAACTGTTTCTGCTCTAAAATCCACAGTTCTACATCTCACCATATCCACATATAACAATATCAAACATGTTTATGATGCAAAAAGTCCTATCAAACATGTTTATGATGCAAAAGGTCATACAACAATATCAGACATGTTTATGATGCATTATTTGTGTGCTGAAATTTATGGAGCACATATAGATGTACTTAATTAGAGTGCACAAAAAAGAAGGGTGATGGTTACAGAACTTACAGCATATTGCTCAGGCGTGGGTAATGATTTGGCAGCCATCCTGTGGTCAACAATGCACTTAGAAAGATCCCTCGTGGCTTGAGCTCTGACCTCCTCATTTTTATAACGATTTTCAATGGGATCTAGAAGCTTTAAATATAAACACAAACATAAGAAAATGGTTTGATGGTGAGGGGAAAAATAAAAACAAAAACATTAAACCTCAGAAATAGATACCCATACTCCACTGGGTATCTATTGAATTTGATGATTTCATTTTTCTTTGCTTCTTAGTATGGAACAGGAGCAAAATTCAAAGGTTCATAAACTATGCCCATTTATCTTGATATTATGTAGATAAATTATTGAAACAATCTTAAAGTTTTTTTGGGCGGTGCTAAAAAATACTATGCCGAACAGGTTCGTTCTGATGGTAGTACACACAAGTAGAAAGGCAAGGCAATTACCTAACAAAAAGCCAACCTCATTAAAATGGAGTGTGATTAAAACCTAACCTTGTTAAACTCCAGGTTGATGTTCCATGTAATTGAAATTCCATGTGAAATTACAATTTCATTAATCAAGTATGAACAAGAATGACACATTAATTGAGCTGACAAAGTAGGACTGACCAGCATATCCATGAAAGCATCTTCATTCTCCCGGCTCATAGTTGCACCGCCTTGTCCAATGTAGCCTTGCTCGCACCCCTTTGCACCTATAAACCGTTCCAGAAGAACAGCCAAATTAATCCAAGGAAAGTTCAAGCAATGCGAATTGGCCAATGACAAAGATATGTGCTTACTCCAGTAATATTGAGAACCGACATGCCGGCATCACACCCAATGAGCCATCTGCCAATCTCAGCTTTTCACGGCGTGCCACGGTAAGTCATCGCACCATATGAATCAGAAAAGAATTACCCTCTGAGAAGGGAGGATTGGCACCATGAAGAATGGACCGCGGATAGATTTACAAAGAGGTTATACCTCTTGGTATTTTTCCTATGAAAATAAAGCATAGGAACATAGTCTTATAAGTCAAAGGGAAACATAGCAAGAAAAATCTGTTGGAATTTGAGTCCTATAAAATTCTTTGCCACTCCTATATATGAACTAAAAGGGCCCTAACACCGTAAGAAATGTTAGCTGACGGATGCAATAGACCTTTCCTTATGTAATCCATTAGACATATTGCTTTCAAAAGCAGAGTGTGAGCAGTGGCGCTGTAAAACTACAGCAAACAGTAAATTGCATAATACGTCACCTGCAGGAGAGAACGACAACACTGAATAATTGTAGCTTTTGTCATCACCTACACAAATATCACATCAATTTAATCAGAAGTAAAGAACACTAGTTCATGACTCTTTCATGTGTGCTAGTAATCAACAAGAGCAGAAAGCTTACTGAAGTGCCATAGCATATATAGCTTATGCAATACTCGAATGAATCGATTCTGGCAGAGCCAATGTGCAGCCGGCCATGAGATCATATCGCCGATGAATTAACAGACACACAATGTAAAATATTAAAACTAAGGCATCATTGAAAAAGAAACGATCGATATATCGAATTAAAGAGGCGCACCGGCCAAGCAGCAGCAGCCGCCTTGAGGGCCAGAGATGCAGCAAAAATGCAAGAGGTAAAGTGAAATGAAAGGGGGAACGATGCGCCATGGCTCTCTCTCTTTCTCTCTCTGCAAGTCTGCATTTGCATACATATCGGTCCCCTTTCTTCTGCACAATAATAGCAAATACGTCGTTGCCCGGTCTGCCGAGGTCGAACTCGTTGCCGCTGCCGAGCTCCTCACCCCATCCGATGAAGAGGAGGAAGGGGCCGCGTCGGAGAGGATGACTCGACGGGGAGAGGGGAAAGGGCGGTGCCAGCCAGCGGGACGACGGCGACAACGGCGACGAGGCACCGTTCCTCGCAGACATAAGAGAACCGAGAAGGGAAGAGGAGAGGAGCACTCACCTCCTCGCTTTCTCCGCGTCCGCCTTGAAGCCCCTGCTCGGCGACAGCGACGGCGCAACGGGGAGGCCGAGGCGGCAGCGCGAGGGGGAGGAAGAGGCATATACACCTACTCTTAGTACGGCACGGAGGGACGGTGGCGGAACGCGGGCGGCGGAGACGGTGCTCAGCGACGTTGACGGCGACGGCGGTGGAGGAGGCGGAGACGGCTGCACCCTGCGCGAGGGGAAGGCGGAGGCGGAGGCAGCCGGGGACGGGGACGACACAGTGGCGGCGGAGGAGGTGGAGGCGGCGGGGAGAGGCGGAGGACGAGGCGGCCCCCGGCAGCAGTGGTGAGGCAAGGCGGCGTCGAGTGGGTGGTGGGGAGCGAGGACGGCCGGCTAGGGTTTGTCCGGAGAATCGGACGGCCAGATCGACCATACCGCGAGATCGGACGATGGATGTAGTGGGGACCGGCACGTAACTAATCAAAAGCGAGGGGCTTTTTCACAAAAGTCAGGTTGACGTGGCTGGCGGAGGTCGCGGCGAATCCATTCGGTTTAAGAATTTTAGTATACTAGAGGTGAATTGTCCTGCAATATTGGATGGAAGGGAATGTATTACTGTCGTTCTGTATGTATAGTTTGGAAGGTGTGACAGAGACGGTGATGATATTAGCGTTGATGATACAATGCGACAACAATGGATAGATGGTCTTCAAGCTGTACTGATGCTTCTTTATATGGAATAAGACCCATGGCATCAGAAATGGAAAAGTGAATGCACAGCTAGAAGAATTTGCTTTTCTGGTTGTTTTTGTTTATAGTATAGGGAGGAAAGAAGTGCTCTGTTGTCATGTATAATGGTACAATGTGTGAAATTGAATGACTATTTTCCATGCTATGAGGGCTAATGTACGTAATGGAATTGAATGAGCTCTATGAAGAGTCCAAGTTCCTGGGCCCAATCAGCCAGCCTATAATTAAGACACTGATTTGAGCATAGTATTTTGCTGCTAGCGTGATGCATCCAAATAAGTGATTGTGGATCTGTCACAGAAAAATAAAGAACATTCATCAACAGAGATCAATCCTACTGTAATTTAAAATGTTACCTGACATGCATTATAGAGCTTCCAACTAAATCTGTACATTAAATCATTGGCAGGTACCTTGCCCTATCTATGATGCACAAACAAATCAAATTGAACCTCTAGCAGAATATCAACAACACATTATATTGATCATTGATCAACGTAACCAAATTTCAATAGTAAAAATCTGAAATCATGAGCAAATCCAGGGGAACATAGTACTGAAACATCAAAGAAGATGGAACATTCACCTTTATTTCATTATCCTCTCTGGTAATTAGCACTGATGAATTGTTGAGCCCTATTGGTGCATCATGACTTAAGAGCAAACACAGGTAGACATGAAATGATCAAATTTATATACCTAGATAAACGAAGATGTACACCAAATTTTAAGAAGCAAGCATGCTGGTAAAAGTGAGCTAATATAGCAGAGCAAAAATGAAAATCCCCCTTTTTTCCTATCACAAGCAACATTTAAGGAACAAACAAAAAAACGTAGTTAGTCATTCCATATTAGTTTGTAATAGCAAAATATGCTAAGTTTTACTTGTATTTTGGTATTCTAAGCATTGACCCTTTCAATTGGTCCCTTGTTGTCAACAATAAACATGCCTCTTCATAATTTGTTTTCTCCCTAGATTTAGTGGAAACCAATGCAATTTGTTCATTTGATATAATATTGCTATTAGAGCAATCAATGCAAGAATTGGTAGATAGCTGACCTTTCTCACACATTCCTCCATGTTCTTCTATATATGGTCAACCTCTTTGTTTTCTTTGCACTTTTGTACCAATGTATCTGAATTTGTTTTCTTTGCACTTGTATATATGGTCAACCTCTATGCAAGAATGGGCATATATATAGAAAACAAAGAGGTTGACCATCAATAGTTCAAGACTGCACTCTCCTCCTTTACAAGTGCATGCCCATAACAATTAAAAACTAACACAACAGCAAATATGTCTCTTGAACACAACCTTTGAATGTTTCTGTCACACCTCACAAAAGCAAAAACTTGATAATCTCACATGCTCATACATGCATGAGCATCAGAGTGAGAGACAGTTGTTACGATAAAAGAACCTGAAGGTACGTTATATGTGGATTCTAACCTTAAAAAATAGAAGAACCGAAAGCCACAGATATTCCATTCTCATATTTGGAATTTGTGAGTGTGCCTTTGCACGTTAGATTGCTCAAGTATTGAAATTTTGAATTGAAAAAAAATCATATCAAATGCTAGCTTGATCATTTCTTTTAACTGCTCACAATATAAAATAGACGACAGATAATTACGTGACACTGCCACGGTAGTTAGTGCAGAACATCCTAGATTATACCATGCATTTCCTCCTGTGGAACAAATTCATATTCTACAGCCAAATGATAAAATTTGAGAGCCTTTAAATAACTGCTGTGAATTAGCTCTTAGTTACTGAGTTCATGAAATTCCTAGAGAAGCAATTCAAGAACATTAAAAAAAAGTTAGGGACATCAATATAATTGAGTCATAAATTCATAATTCTTTAAGTACTTATCAGTTGTAGGTCATCAGCTCTAAAAGTAATATCAAATATCACAACTTGGTTAGTTGATAGCCACGGTTGCATAAATATAGAAACAAACAAAAAAGTGATAGTCATCACTTCTTTCCTAACTGTAAATGTATAAAATGTGATGGTAGAAAATAAAACCAAGAAAGCAATGAAACGAACTTCACAAGTGCAATGACAATCCAGTTTAATTACCTTGGTGTAAGTTGTAGAAAGCCATATGATTCCCAATGAAAATTACCGAGTTGGACTAAGAAGGCAATAGAATCCTAAACATGGCAATAAAATCCTCTCTGCGGTGGCGGGCATGACAGCAGAGAGTGCGCGGGGGAGGCCGTCACCTGCGGGAAGAAGAGAATGAGGGGGGCGGCCATTGCTTGGGCAGGAGAGAGAGCGGAGCGAGAGGAGGAAGAGGAATGGTGGCGGCTAGGGTTTGGGGAAGGGGGTTAGGGTTTTTTTTTCTATTTTACAAAAACACCCCTCATCTTATACTTTTCAGAGCGCGGTACGATTTTCCAATTTTTCTCTTCTTCGTATAGAATATTTTTGTTTACAGAGGTCCTCTAAGTAAGAACGCATAACGTTAAAACTAAGGGATAGGGACCTACAACAAATTATCAAGTAAATCAAGGGCTTTTTTGCAAAATGGCCAGCGACGACGCGGAGGCAGGAGCGCTCGCGAAATCCCTCCTCCTTCCCGCGTCCACGCCAGCGCAAAACGCTGAGGAGCGAGCAGCCGGGGGTAGGTTTTAATACTTTAGATTTAGATTTAGATTAGATTAGATGAGTAGGAAAAAAAAAGGGTTCAACTAAGGCCCCGTTTAAGGTTGCAAAAACTAATGGATTATTTTATTTTGGTGACAGATATTTAAGGGCATAATATAAACAAATGAATTAATGAATTAAGGGCTGGTGTTTCGATGTCACTAAATTCAAACAATTAGATAATCAATGAAACATTTACTGCAATCAGCTAAAACTAACTTGTATATAATCCTTATAAGCCGATGAAACGTCCAGATAACCCATCGGCTAAAACCTCGATGAAACTCTTATTAGCAATGAAAGGCATGCATATTAGTTTTTATGATTCTAAGCATGACTAGGGCTGATGCAACGCAAAATATAAAAAGAATCATAAAATCTAAACAATCAAGCCATTGACTGATTTTCAGGGTAGTGGATACCTTAGCTAATCTAGACCGACAAACAATTTAGCCGATACCAGTAAAACCCTAGAAAAGATCAGATCGATACAAGTAAATTGAATAATCAAATTAGATTAACTAAGATATATGATAAACCGGTAGGCAAATATATCAACCAAACTAGAGCAATCTAAGAGGTCGAAACAATACAGCCTTGAACAACACCAATGTAGCCGATACAATTGCCAGGGCCGGCGGAACGTAGGACTTACCCCCTCGCCAGAGATCGAAAGCCGATGCAACACGCGTCACGTGCCAAGTTCTGCCGGTTGATAAGTAAAAACCTCGGAAAAGAGGGTGGCGATACGTCGAGAGTAGTTGTATTGATCAAGAGATAGATTACAAAGACCATCGGTGTACATATTTATACCATGGGTAGATACTAGTCCATATCGGACATGACACATATTTCCTAAAGATAAAAGGAAAGATACAAGTCATGATCGGACACTAAATAAACATTTCCTAAAGATAAAAGGAAATTACTAAATCTTGTCTAATTAATAGATAGAATTTAAACCGTCATGCCAAAGTTTTCAAGGTTCCTTCTTAAACTATGTCTCTTTTGGATAAGTTTCCGTCGACTGGTTGTGCTTTTTCCTTAACTGAATTCACTAAAGAATCTTACCAAAATTTGGCGTTAACAGGATCTCATTATGAGCAAACAGATTCTTAGCAATCATTTATCAACAAGGATTCTAATGTTCTGGAATATTAAAAGGCAGAGCATAGTTGTGTTTACCTTGAAGATGTCCTAAACTTGGAAACCGCTCTCTTAGGCTTGGGCACTGCTTGAGTTACATTGGGCACCTGGGTAGTGTCAGCACCCGGCGTCTGAGTTGGGTTGGCGCCTGGAGCTAAGTTGTCGTCTTCATCAGTGTCGACGATATGGAATTTCCTCGTTCACTTCTCAGCCCTTGCTGGTGCTTGCTCTTTGACTGACCTTTTACCCTTTTGAGGGGTTTTGATTGATGGGCCCCCAGTTGGTTGCTTATTTCTTGGGCTCCTTCGAGGAGATTGCCGAGCCATAGCAAGGGGGTTTGAGATTATAGATTCATTTTCCTATAAAAGTCAAGACAAGGCAATTATATATCCAATGATTCATTCACTGCCAGAGACGAAAGAAGAGTTATAGAGACTTACTGGAGGCGTAGGATTCATTAGGCTGTATGGGATGACTGGAAGATTGTGCCCATAATCGATGACAATCCCAGTCGAGAAGACTTTGTACATCTGAGAATACATGGTCTGGAACTCGATCGAGTCTGGATCTTCCCGATTGGGGCCAGTTTGGCCTTCGTGCTGGAAGGATGGCTTTGATCTCTCTCCTTGATGGGGGCTAGTTGGCATTTGATGAAGTGCCAGAGTGACCTACTTCCCGCGTAAGCCGGCTCCCTTGATTCCAACTATTTTCTTTAGTAAGGAGTTAGCCTCAGCAAGATCAGTTCCCTCCGGCTGAGAATTCCAATGGGGACCATGGACTGGAGGGAGGCCGACAAAAGCAGGGAGGCATGGAACTGGGTTCGAGATGTAAAACCAATTCAAATGCTAGCCCTTGTTGGAGGTTCTCAAAGGAAAATTGAAGTAGTGCTTGTGGATATTTCCGCATGGCTGAAAGCTAGAGCCACCAACTACGTAGGGGTTTTCTTTGGTGGGGTGTGCTTTGAGGTAAAATATGCAGCGGAACAAATTAAAATGGGGCCGAATGCCCAAAAAGGCTTCACACAGGTGGACAAATACGGTGACGTATAGAATGGTGTTAGGGTTTAGGTGATAAATCCTAATTCCATAAAAATCCAAAAGACCACAGAAGAAAGTGGAAGTTGGGAGATTGAAACCACTATAGAAGAAGGTAGTAAATACCACAATTTCTCCAATGTTCGGTGTCGAGAATTCCTCACTGTAGGCCGATTGCCACCCGATGATTTTTTTGCCGGCAGCACGCCCTTCTTCACCGTCTCCTTCAATGTGGATTCCTTCACATCAAACGTCGCCCATTGTTCGAACGAGATTTCTCGCTCTTCCGCCATGGGTGGATATGAGAAGCTTCGGATTAGAGTTTCTTGTGGAAGAAATTTGAGGAGGTTGTTGGTGCGGAGGTGCAGATCTGCTCGAGGGCTAATTTGGGTTTTCTTTTTGGTGATTGGATGAGTGGGGAACCCTAGTCCTAGCTCCGGCGGTGGTGGTTGTGAAAAGGAGCGCGAAGGGGGATTTTTGGAAATGAAGCGGCGGAGAAGATGATGCACAGTAATCACGGTGATTTTTTTTAAGGGTATCGGTGAATTTTCTTTTTGGGCCGAAGCCCTTTAAGAGTATGCAGCCCATATTTCTCAAGTGTGGCATGTCACGTGTCTTTAGGGACTTAGGCATATTTGTTCTTGGCAATGTACGCGTGTTCAAGTGCTTAATATCTTGAAAATCATTTTATTCAGCTGTTACACAACTTTTTATGAGTTGGTACAATGCAATTTAAAAGATGGAAAACAGTAAAGCTTTATATATATAGCTGGTCTATTAACTTTTATACAAGTTAAGGCACTGTTTGGTTTATATAAAGCAATTGATTATATATAATATCATTGCTTTAGGCCACATATGTGTGCATTCTTATTCGAACACCAATACTATAGCTTTAGACTGATTGTATGATTTTGGTCAACTTTAGGCAGTTGGTAAATCTGTTTATGGGTATTATTTACTCGATTTTATACCACATATGCCATATATTTTCGAGTGTGGAAAAGCCATGTGTCTTGTAGGAACTTAAGCATATTTAATTTGTCTTGGCGATATGCGCGTGGTGTGAACCCAATACCTTAGAAAATTTCTTTATTAACTGCATAATGGGGAACAAAAAGGTTTTGGGAAGATAAATGGTTAGGAAACTTGGCCTTCAAAGATAAATATCCATCTTTATATACTATTGTCCGAATCAAAATTTCTTCTATTGCTAATATCATGGGATTTGTTCCGCTTAATATTTCTTTTAGGAAGCCTTAGTTGGTCAGAATCGTGTTTATTGGCATGAATTATGTGCTTCTATTGTACATATCCAGTTGAATCTTTCTTCTGATTGCTTTAGATGGAATTATCATCAGAATGTCATGTTCTCGATTAGGTTAATGTATCTAGCTCTAATTAATAATGGTTATATTGAGAGGATAAGAGTATTTGGAAGCTTAAGATGCCGCTTAAGATGAAGATCTTTATGTGGTACTTGCTTAAAGGGGTTGTGTTAACCAAGGACAATTTGGCGAGACGGAATTGGAATGGTAATTTAAAATGTTGTTTCTATATGAAAAATGAGACTATTCAACACCTCTTCATGGATTGTCATTATGCAAAGTTCATATGGAGAGTAATTCAGTTCACTTTTGGTCTTTCTGCTAGCATATCTCATATTTTTTATGGTTGGCTTTTGGGGTAGACAAGAAAAAGAGTAAACTGATTCTTGTAGTAGCCTCTGCCATATGTTGGGCTCTGTGGTTGAGCAGGAATGATATGGTTTTTGATAAATTACCATCTATTTTATATATGCAGGTAATTTTCAGAGCAACACATTGGCTCCGGTTTTGGTTACAATTACAAATGTGTGATGAAGATGGAGAATTTCTGAAAGTTGCATGTTATAAGCTAGAGATAACGGTTATGCAACTTTTTGCCAACTATTGATGTAGATTCATAAATAGACTTGAATTAATGTGTTCTCCTTGTCTTGGTTTTGTTTTTTTATCTATTTTGGTTGATGTGTTCTATTTTATTTGGACTACACTCTTTTCTAGAGTACTAGATTGTAATAATTAGCTGTAACTCTTTTGAGCAAAGGCCAGGATGTTATATTCCATTATCTAAAAATAAAGGCTTTTTATTAAAGTCGTTTGCTATGTGATTTTTATAGACGTAGTTGGCTTTAGGCTATGTGCATTATATCATTTAAAAACAGTCGGTATATCACTCGGATCATGCTATTCAGGGATTCATGATATAAATATTTCTTTCTTTTACAATTACAATCTATTTTCTTATAAAATATGGTGACATATGACCTTTTTTTAGTATTTTTTTACAAACAACAAATAAATTTCCCGTGCATCTGCACATGCTTTCTTCCTACTTTTTCTAAAAGACCAATATTATGGCTTTAGGCTAATTATAATATATTTTTTTGGTCATTTATAGGCAGTGGTAAATCATTTGAGCATTAGTACTTGGGATTTTACACCACGTATGCCATATATTTTTCAGGTGTGATGAAGCTATGTGTCTTATAGGGACTTAAGCATACTCATTTTTGCGATATGCGCACGGTGTGTGAACCCAATACCTTAAAAAAATCCTTTGATCGCTGCATAAAGGCTTTTTTATTAAAGACATTTGCTATGCAATTGGTAAAGGTGACCAATAGCATGCTTTTGTGGCCTTTTATAAACTGGTTTCTTTTTTCATAAGAGTCAGGTACTATTGGGTTTTATTTTCAAAGATGCAGTTGGCCTAGTGCTACACGCATTCTATACATGGTTGCCCTAATGCTACGTGATTTTTTTTTATAAAGTCACAGTTATCCTTGAGCTATGAGCATTATATTTTTAAGACGTGGTTGCCCTAGGGCTACACGCATTATATTCTTAAGCCACGGTTAGCCTAGAGCTACGTGCATCATATTTTGTGCAGTCAGTATATCATTTGGGTCATGTTACTCAAGGATTCACACCGTATATGCTATAAATTAATATTAAGTCATTTGGTTGACTAAAAAGCCACTCGGTTGGTTAATTTATTTACTCCTTAACCATATGCTTAGTTTGTTCAACTAACCACATAGTAATGGCAGGTCTATCCGACTGATTATAGGGAGTAGATTATGTTTATGGAATATGTAACGGATCATGACTTAGGTATTACGTTTCTTTATATATTATGGAACGACCTAAAGTCTTGGTTCGGTAATATTGTAAAATAGATTAAGAAAACTGATGTCGTATTTGGGTAAGTTTCTCTCTTTGTAACCTTGCCCCCCCCATCCTATATAAGGTGGGCAGGGAGCCCTTCAAGGGTATAACCACAATCAGATCGTTAGATCAATATACACCCGGCGGATACAATCTCCAAACAGGAGTAGAGTATTGTCTCTCATTGAGAGAGACTGAACCTGTCTAAATCTTTATGTTCCGCATCCATCCATTTTGAGATCTCGTACACTATCCCCTTTTACTATTGCTGATTTCCAGAATCGACAACGTCTCAATAATGTTTGTCTATATCGGCTAACAGGAGAGGGGCAAGGTTGCTGGGACTGGTACGGTAATGCAGGTAAATAATGTCTCCCTTCTGCTGGTCTATATCGTCTAGTGGGAGAGGGGCCTTATATGACATACCAGACTCTCTCCGGCCAATATAGTACTAATATAGTAATATAAGTACATGAATAGTATGATGATGGAGGATGCCCTGATCACCTAGTTCGACCGAGCAAAACAAAACTTCCCAGGCTTGCAATGAATAACTTTGTTGCTACTCTTTCACAGTTGACAAATTTCATTCAATTTTGCAAAGAACAAGTTTTTCAAGTTTCAACTATTTGTGAAAGCTCGATATAAGTTAAAAAAAATTCAAACAAATCTCTTTTCAAAGTTGGCAAGTTACATTTATGTGCCACAATACTGAAAAAACTCCACGAGGTTTTAGTTTCAGAGCAGAAAACTGAGCTCGAGAAGAAGGGGGTTGAAAAGATTGGGAAGATACGTAAAACGAAATTAATATGAGTATTAACTATTTTAGATTTCAAAAATAGATTAATATGATTTTTTAAAGCAACTTTCCTATAAAATTTTTTTGCAAAAAATGTACCGTTTAGTAGTTTGGGCAGCGTGTGCGCGGAAAACGATGCGCTTTCTCACCCAATCTCACCTGAATGAACGAACGCAGCCTTAGTTTCAGAACTGAAGAACTAGTTCCAGAAAGATCCATGCAAAGCTTTCATAAAAAAATATACTTTCAGAAAATTTTCATAAAGGGACTGAGCATGAGAAAATATAACTTTCAGGAAATTTTCACGAAGGGACTGAACGACTGAACATGCATGGTTCAAGAAAGATGTAAGCAGGTATGGCACTGCTTTGATGAAAAAACGAAGGGCTGAAAAATAAACTTCGATAAAACAATCTTAAAATCGGCTTAAAATTTAAGGTTGAAAATTCAAATTTTGACTGATAAGTATAAACATAAGCGAAAAGATGAGAGATTGGTAACATCAAAGTCATAGAAAAGATAGGTACATTCAGCATACTGAATAATATTGGAGCCTAGAAAAGACAGTTACATTCAGCATGCTGACGGGGAAAGACACCGATGGGTCGCCGTTCTCGATGCGGACGGTGCTGACGCCGGACGGCACGACGTACGGTGACATGATACGCAGGAGAGCTTAATTATAGTTGGTAAATCACATACGTGTCAAGAACAGAAGATATGAAACTGCTAAACTTTTCAACTTCTATGACCATATATGTTCCAATTGTAACATGGAAGCCTAAACATATTGACACTTAACACTCCAATTTTGGAGTACGATTCTAAACGTATGACAGTATATGGCAGTTTAGAGGAAAAAAGAACTTAAAAACAAATACCTCATTGCCTAAAAGAATCTAAACAGACACCTGAATATATATTTAATTAAGATTGTCTAAATAGCGAAGTCGATCTTGACTGGGAAAGACACCGACGAGTCGACGTTCTCGACGAGGATGGTGCTGACGCCGGACGGCACGACGGTGTAGGCCGTCTTCTCGACGATGCCGAACGCCTTGCACACGTTGAGCTCGAAGCTCACGCTTACCGTGCTCCACGCCGGGACGAACACGCTCTTGAACGCCACCACCTGCTTCATCGGCGCGTCGTCCACCTCCGCCGGCGGCTTGCTGAACACGATCACCGGGTGGCTGCCGCCCGTGTCGCCGCCGTTGGTGACGCTCACGTTGAAGCTGACGGTCTCGGTGCACACGTGGCCGTTCACGTTGATCGCCGGGCATGCCGGTGCGGTTGACACGCCGGACTTGTAGCTGAGCTTCTTGCAGTGGCCGCCGGCGACGGGGACGATGAGGGCGGTGCCGTTGGTGCCCATCTCGTAGAGGAACTTGGTGTAGCTGAGGCCGTAGCCGAACGGGTAGAGCACGTCCGGGCCGTCGTAGAACTTGTATGTCCTTCCAGGGTAGCCGTGCTTCGCCACCGGCCGGAGATCCATGGATGTCATGGGCAGCTGGTAGATGTACTTGTTCTTGAACCATGTCAATGGCAGCCTCCCACCTGTTCAATCAAAGAACATTTGATTTTGAGATTTGATGTGTCAAAAGAATAAAATAATGATGTGATTTGCATTCTGAATTACTTGGATTGTGTTTTCCAAAGATGACATCTGCAATGGCATTGCCTCCTTCACCACCAGGGTACCCAGCCCAGAGGATGGCGCCGATCTTGGGGTTGTTCTGCGCGAAGGAGACGTCGATGCCACCTCCTGACAAGATGACAAGGATGATCGGGTTCGGCGACGCCTTGGCGACACGGATGATCTCCTCTGTCTGGTTCTTGGGCAGGAGAATGTCCTCCCTGTCGTTGCCCTCCCTCTCAATGTTGAGGTTTAGGCCTCCGAAGTAGATGGTAGTGTTGGCGCGATGCGAAAACCTCACATACTTGCTTACACCTTGGCGCGGCGTCACGTATCGGCACGGAGGACCTGCATTTCAAAGTAGTATTCAGTAACATTTTTCTGTAATTGATTGAGCCATTGTCGGATCATGAACAGTAGTAACATCAAGGTTTGTCAAGCATTTCAACAATGAAAAAAAAAGTATCAATCAATAATGTTCAGTAACATGATGCCATTGTCGGACCATGAACAGTAACATAAGTGAGAATTTTTGCATTTGACGACCTACGTACCTGTGTAGTCTCCATCCATGATCTTCTCAGGGGCCTGGACATGAGGGCCACGGACATTGACGAAGCCAACCTTGTTGGCGTCGAGCGGCAGCAGCTTGTTGTCGTTCTTGAGGAGGACGATGCCCTGGCGTGCGCCGTCAAGGGCGAGGGTCTTGTGTTGGTCGGTGCAGATGTCCTGCCTGCCGAGGGAGGAGTACTGGGCGATGTCGTCGAAGTAGCCGAGCCTCATGAGCGTCATGTACTGGTTGGTGAGGGCGTTGTCAATGTCGGACTCCCTCATCTTGCCCTTGTTGACGGCCTCCATGCCGTAGGTGGTGAGGAAGTCCATGAGCGGGTGGCCGTCGGTGTCGTTCTTCCAGCTCTCGCCGCAGTCGAGGTCGAGGCCAGCCTTGAGCGCGGCGGCGCTGGCCTCGGCGCCGGTGTAGCCGAGCCAGGTGGCGTTGTCGGTCATGACGCGGACGGCGTCGCAGTCGGAGACGATGTAGCCGTGGAGGCCCCAGTCGCGGCGGATGGTCTGCGACAGGAGGCGCGCGTCGGCGCACGCCGGGATGCCGTTGACGCGGTTGTACGAGCACATGACGCTGCTCACGTCGCCGTCGCGGACGCACATCTCGAATGGCCGCTGGAACGTCTCCACCATGTCGCGCTCATCGACGCGCGCGTCGAACTCGAACCGCGTGTGGTTGTGCCAGTCGTCGAGGTCGTAGGCGGCGTAGTGCTTGCAGCACGCCGACGTCTTGAGCGGCCGCGTGTTAGGGTCGCCGCCGGCGGCGACCGCCTCGTGCCCGGGGATGTCCTGCATGCCGCGGACGAAGTTGACGGCGTAGCGGCCGACGACGTACGGGTCCTCGCCGGGCGTCTCCAGAGCTCTCCCCCACCTCGGGTCGCGCACCACGTTGATGTTGGGGCTCCAGTACGTCAGCCCTCCCTTCCCCATGTTGTACATCGCCCTCGCCTCCGTCGACACAGCCTACAAATTTGAACAAAATTCATATAGATTTGTATGATCTATAGATTGAAATGAAGAGATGATCGATGAATTGTAAATTGTAACCAACCTGGCCGATGGATTTCCAGAGGGTCTCGTTGAAGGAGGCGGCGCTGTTGATGACGTTGGCGAAGACGGTGGCGTTGTAGACGGCGGAGACGCCGGAGTGGAGGTGCGGCGTGGCGAGGTCGTCGAACTTGGTGGTGGGGCCGGTGCTGGAGAGGCCATGCAGCGCCTCCGACCACCACCTGTACGCCGGCAGGCCGATGCGGGCAGCGCCGTCGGTCCAGTCGCCGAGGGCGCCGACCTTCTCCTCCACGGTCATCCGGCCGATGAGGTCGCGGACACGGTCGGCGTACGGCAGCGACGCGTCGCAGTAGCGGAACTCCGTCATGTTCAGGCCCAGGCCGGCGAACCTCGTCGCGTCGCACACCTTGGTGTACACCTTGGCGGCGATGCCGCCGACGGCAGTGTCGGCCGGCGAGGCGCGCGTGGAGGTCGCGGTGGACAATAGAGAGGAGGCGGCTATGGCGAAGAAGAAGAGTATGAGGAGGTGCAGATGGGATGGAGAAGAAGAGGAGGCCATTCTCGCTGATCTACTCTACGTACGTGGTGTTTCGGTGGATTGAGAGAATGATTTTTTTTTCATGCAAAATGGACGTACGTATATATAGAAGAGATGGTATGAGAATAGATTAGATAGGATAAACATACCGTGAAACAAACACAACAATCTAAACAACAGAAAAAATATGGTTGTTTATCGATGTAACGTGAAAGGATAACATATCGGTTAGGCCGCTGTGGGCTTTTACTTCTCTCGGGCCAGATTGGACTGTAGTCGTGTGTAGTGTAGTACCTACCTACGCGCCAGCGTGCCGCATAGCTTGGAGACTGTGGAGAAGGTTTTTTTTTTTTGAGAAAGGAGGTGGTTGCGTGTTGCATCTTGAGTTCGACGCCGCTGCACCTTGAAGAGAGAGGAAGGGGAAAAGAAAAGGTAGAGGATAAAGAAATTTGCTGTGACATGGAGGTCTCACTAGTTTTATTATTTTTTTAATTAGTATAGTAATCCGCACAGATTGCATCTTCTCTTACATAATAGATATTTTCTTATTTACTATTAAAATAACAATATAATTTTAAAATTTACACTAAATTTACAAAAACTACTGATGTGTAATATTCATATTGTATTTGTATATACGTATAGTTATCAGTTATTTTTAATATCGAAGTTTAGTTATTTATAAATTGTATTTCTATATGGACTTTAGACTTATCTTCCAATATTTTTATTTTTTTTAATTCTAAATTTCTATTATTTATAAATTTTATTCCTATATTTCTTATTTTAAATTTAGAATTTCAGTTATTTGACTTATTTCTCAATTATACTCCTATATGGCCTCTAGACTCCTCTTCTAATATTTCTTATTTTTTAATTTCAGATTTTCGTTACTTGTGAATTATATTTCTATATAGACTCTAGGCTCTTCTTTCCATATTCTTTTTTTGAAAAAAAAATTGAATTTTTATTATTTCTAATTGTATTTTTATGCGGACTCTAAACTCATCTTTCAACATTATTTATTTTTTAATTTATAATTTCAGTTACTTCTAAATTGTATACCTATATGGACTCTAGTATTTTCTTTCAACATTTTATTGAATTTCGAATTTTAGTCCTATATGGACTCTATGCTCTTCTTCTAATATTCCTTATTTTCTTAATTCCGAATTTTAGATATTTATAAATTATATTTCTATATGCACTCTATACTCTTCTTTCAATATTCCTTTTTTAATTTTGAATTTTAGTTATTTCTAAATTATATTTATACTAGAAAAATGCCCGTGCGTTGCAATGGGTAAATGCTATTTTAATTTTATTATTGTTATACCGTTTAGTTAGGGTAAAATTCACAGTGAAAACTCGATTGGATATTTTTTTAGAAAATCATAAGCTGCAATTAGTAGTCCATATTTCATCTCAAGTTAGCATGAGAGATTTTTCAAAACATTTCTTGTACGCTCCTTTTATACTTCCAAAAGGAAACAAACTTAAAATCCAACTCAAACACGGATCTGTAATTCAAAAAATGAACGAAATTAGAAACCGACTCAAATACGGATGACGTACCAAAACACTGGCAAAAACATCTTCAATTTTTATAATAGTAGAGATATGGACTATAACATCTACTTTTAATTACGAATTTCCATTAATCCTAAATTGTATACATGTATATGAACTTTTAGTCTCCTCTTCCAATATTCCTTATTTATTAATTCCTAATTTCAGATATTTTTAAACTGTATTTCTATATGGACTCTGTTTTTCTTTTTCTCCGATTAATATGAGAATTTCTAGGCCGTGAGAACGAACGTGGAGGTTTCTTTTTCTATTACTTTAATAAATTACTATATATTACGGTAGTACCACCTAAATAGATCTTACGGTAGTACCACCTAAAATAAAGACCATATCAACATGCCATAAAGCATAAAACCATCGAAGGAGGTAAATTGACTCGGTTTTAACAGTTAAGAGAGCCTCTACACCTGCTTTTATACGACAACAAAGGGAGGGGGTACGAATGAAACTAGTGTTTGAAGTTGAGGGAGACAAAATTGACTTTTTCTTAACTAATCATCAGATTGTAGGAGCCCAACCTTTCATATGTCGTAAAGCCCAATCTTGTACATTACCTAAGGGCAATTTGGTCCTATAATGATTTTTGGCAGTTATTTCAGACAAGCGCAAATGCACAAGGCGTGCCGGAATTCAATTGTAGACGTCTATGTGTCTACTCTTGCTTACCTTCTGGAACTTGGTTGGAAAAAGAAAAACATTTTCTCTATCTAATGGAAATGACATGAAAGGCTTTTACGTTTTTTATTAAGAAAATAACTTCGTATCATTGAGAATCGAACGATGTTGTGCTTTGTTTTTTATGCTGTTCATGCCTATTGGATGATAGTAACATGCATGTTTATACTTTTTATATGATACATAACATTGGTGTGGCAGAAAGTTCTGTTCATACATATATATATATATATATATATAACGATTGTCATAAGAAACTTTAGTCGCTCTTCCGGAATCCGGGAACTGTACTAGCTACTCACTTCCATAACCTTGAGCATGCATGTATTATAGCTACCAATATAATCCAACAGCTTCATTGTGTATGATTTTATTAGATTCCATAATTTGATAGCTTACCCATATAGAAAGGTTTTTGCCCATTTTAGATATTAGTTAATACCTCTGACTATGAGCTATTGGAGCAAAACTAAATGTAGAGTTATATGGCCGTACTGAAACATGTGCCCATAGGGCTGATTTTCTTATAGAAGAGGGAGGAGGTGGCTATGGCGAAGGGTATGAGGAGGAGGTGTAGATGGGAAGGAGAAGAAGAGGACGCTTGCTGATCGATATAGCTACTGTTTTGGTGAACGAATAGAATGATTTTTTTCATGCAAAATGGACGTACCTATAGGAGAGATGGTATAAGAATGGATAAGAACAGACATAAAAATCTAAACAACAGAAAAAACTATGGTTGTTTGTTGCTGTGGATAACAGAATAATATAAGTATTAACATTTCGTATCGATTTGGTTGGGTCGCTGTGGGCTTTTACTCCTCTCGGACCAGATTGGGCTGTAGTCGTGTGTAGTACCTACAAGAATAAGTTCATCTGAGGTCCCTTAACTTTACACCGAATCCGATTTTTATCCTTCAACCCAAAACCAGATACAACCCGTCCTTCAACTGTCAAAACCGGTGCAAAAGAGGTCCCTCGGCGGGTTAGAAGGCAGTTTTGGCTAGCGTGACTCCTACGTGGCTAGTTTGACTAGATCTTCGTCCCACGTGGCATCGACGTGGCGCTTACGTGACAATTCTATCTCAGAAAAATAATAAAACCCGTGGGCCCACATCTCAGTTACACAAAAAAAATTAAGAAAGGTGGGGCCCAGCCCCACCTGTCCTTCACACTCTCCTCTCCTCCTTACTCTCTCTCCCCATCTCCCCTCTCTTCATCTCTCTCCCCTCTCCTCTCCTCTTCCGATGGTGAGGACGCCCGCCGGCGAGAGCAGCGAGCTGGAGGGGGCGGCGAGACTGGTGCCCACCGGCGAGAGCAGCGAGCTGGAGGAGGAAGCTGGGGCAATAAAAGGGGGTCGGCGACGGCGGTGGGAACAGATCGACCCGGGTGGCGGCAGGTCCCCCCGGAGCAGCGCCGACGATCGAGATCCGGCAGTGGTGCTCGGGAGAAGGGCAGTGGCAGGCAAGGAGAAGGGACGGCGTGCAGCGATGGCCGCCGGAGGAGGAGATGCGGCCCTGTGGGGAGGCGTGGCGGTGGCAGCCAGAGGTGGAGGCCTATCATGATTTTTGGCGGTTATTTCAGACAAGCGCAAACACACAAGGCATGCCGGAATTTAATTGTAAACATCTCGATGTCTCCTCTTGCTTACCTTCCATAACTCGGTTGGAAAAAGAAAAGCCTTTTCTCTATCTAATGAAAATGACATGAAAGGATTTTGCCTTTTTTATTAAGAAAATAACTTCACATCATTGAGAATCGAACGATGCTGCGCTTTGTTTTTTACGCTGTTCATGCCTATTGGACGATAGTAACATGCATGTTTACACTTTTTATATATAAGCTATTAAATTATTGAAACTAAAATCATACACAATGAAACTGTTGGATTACATTGGTAGCTATGAATACATGCATGCTCAAGGTCGGTAATGGAAAATGCATGCTCAAAGTTGGAAATGGAAGTGAGTATAGTAGGGTATAGTAGTTCAGTTTCCGGATTCTGGAAGAGCGACTAAAGTTTCTTATGACAATCGTTATATGTATGTATGAACCGTACTTGCTTGCACACCTCTATATATATATATATATATATATATATATATATATATATATATAAATATAAAGATTATTGCCCATTTTAGATATAAGTTGTTACCTATGACTATGACTATGTGCTATTGGAACAAAACTGCAGGGAGAGTTATATGGCAGTACTAAAACACACATGCCCATAATCTGGTTGATTTTCTTAGACATAAATATAGTTGATTGATTGATTTAGAGAATAATCTATATTCGCTTAATTGGTAATCATACGATAATTTTATGTTTAAAAGGATAGCGGTTGGATATATTTGATTTTCTTAGACATAAATATAGTTGATTGATTGATTTAGAGAATAATCTATATTCGCTTAATGGGTAATCATACGATAATTTTATGTTTAAAAGGATAGCGGTTGGATATATTGGATTTTCTTACTTTATAATTACTGTAAAACTAGAATGGTAGAAACAGCACTGCCAAACAATGTTTACTGTAAGGACATGATGTTAATTTACTCCCCAGCTAAATAACTGTTTTGCCGATAATGATTAAGAGATTACTGCAAAACAATTATATATATTTAGTTTACTCCACAGTTAATTACATATATTTTTATAAAAAATAATATTTCTTGAACTATATTTGTAAACACGATCTTGATTTTAGACGGTTCACAAAACCGATGGAATCTCGGTTTGTGAAAACCGGTCGATATTAGCCGGACATGATGTTAATTTACTCCCCAGTTAAATAACTGTTTTCCCGATAATGATTAAGAGATTATTGCAAAACAATTATATATATTTAGTTTACTCCACAGTTAATTACATATATTTTTATACAAAATAATATTTTTGAACTATATTTGTAAACATGATCTTGATTTTAGACGGTTCACAAAACCGATGAAATCTCGGTTTGTGAAAACCGGTCGATATTAACCGATCTTGGTTGTGAAAATTTTCGTATGGTATTCACTGAAAGTCGCCGGTTTTTACCGGTTTTCGATTGGATTTTGGTAAACTTGTGAGGAGCGGTTTTTACTTCGAAATCGAAAAATTAAAACCTATTTTAGCAAACAATCTACCATTTGCAATAGTTTATTGCCAGAAACAACAAAAAGATACTACCAAGTTTTTCAGCACAAAAATGCTGTTGTTTGAACTCTTCTGTCGTGACCATCGTCTACTTGTTGCTGAGCATGATGACAAGATTCAGATCCTGTAAAATGCATGTGCAGTACCATGGCTTAAACTTGAACCAAAACCAGGGGCTAAACTTAATCAGGAACACATCTCAATGTGAGATGAAATACAGCGCGATTGCATTGCAACAATATCACAATCAAGAAGAGAACAAATCAGGAAACGCTACTCTCACTTTTATTGCATCGCAGTAGTAGTTTCAGTACATCAATAACCTATCCAGATCTCGTCCAAGTATAACATGTATCAAGAAACAAATCAGCCATCTGCAGAGAACTACTGCAACTACACCACACTCTCATCCATGTCGCACCCATCACGCATTCAGCATCTTGCCTGCAGATCCCAGAACTTGCATCTTCATTTATGCTGCGGCCATAACGCATTCAATTGCTTGCTTGCAGATTCCAGTCATCGTCGCTTCTGGCCCATACACCTGCAGTGATGGGTTGTTCAAACAGAAATCAGCTCATCCGTGTTGTGTGAGGGGATGGTCAGGATAGTGATTCAGAACCACCAACAACAAACTGATAGGTTTGCCCATTTGCATTTATGAACTTCAGATATAACAGGTCTTGCATAGCAAAGAGAGAGGTGCAGTAGGAGACAGTAGATCCGTACCTCAATCGGGACGCCGAGTTCTGCGCCAAGCTTGCGCATTTTAGCCAGCCCAGTTTGGTAATTTGGACCACCACGTCGGACATAGATGTGCATCCTTGCAGCCTTCAACTTGGATTCCTGAAAGCAAGTTTCAGATTCAGTTGACAGTCAATCAATCAGATGAACATGTGGAACTGGTGATAAGTTTTAGAGAACATTGGCCACAATTCTAGATTTAGGGGTCAGCATAGCTACCTTCTCTCTTAAGGCCCGAATGATGCCGCTAAATGTGGCCCCGACGTCGGTGAAGTTAGCTATACCCCCTCCAATGAGAAGAGCTCTCTTGCGGCCATCAGGATCAGCAGTCGCACACTGCATTGAATGTTATCATTAACAAATTGACATAACAAGGGAGTGGAGAGAAATGTGGTTATGGTTATATCTTGAGTGCTTACATCAAGTACTACTCTAGCATACTGCAGAACCTCCTCCTCATTGGGAGCACCGCTATACTCTGCATAGTTTCCTAATTCTGAAGCATATCCCAAATCTCCGACCTGGTAAATAAGAAAAAAAAAAGTTAATTTCATGACAGTAGCATGAAATCCCTGAACAGCTAAGTTAAAACAAGGGAGGAACTCAAAGCTTACTGTATCAGCATATATGACACTGGCACCACCTCCAGCAACCATTGTCCAGATGCGCCCCTTTGGGTTCAAAACGGTGAACTTCAGAGATGCACTTGTCTGAAAGAATAAGGACATCATATCACATTTAGAAAATAATTCAAAAAAACATATAGTACTGAGCCAGACTGCCAGCACTCCTATCTGAATTCATGTGCAAACCTACTGATGATATTATACAGGCAACTCATACTTAAATAAGATTGGGGAGGAGGCTTGAAATGTGAAACGTGTAATTTGAGATGTGGATACCTTCTCATCCAAGTCATGGATAAAGCCTTCTGTAGAACTGAGAACTCTACCGAATGGTAGTGGGAATTCGATATTTCCCCACCTGAACAGTGACAAGAAATGCTTAATAAAATATTCGCACAGAGGCATGTATGCTAGAGAAGCAATGGGACTTACTTCTTGAAGTTTTTGAAAGCTGCTGTGTCATCTAATTCTCCTCTCATGTCCAGAGGATACGGCTCTCCATTCACGATGGTAAATGGGTTCATCTCGAGAAATGAGAAATCTAAGTCTGTAATGGGAGCATATTGTTATGGATACATGATAGACCAATACGTTTATTACATTTACAACTAAAACATTACAACAAATGAAAAGTGAATTCTATATGCATCTTTAATACCTTGGAAAACAGCAAAGACTCCTTTAATGAAATCACCAATTTTTCCACGTGCCTGATGTCGAAATGTACAGTTCAATTATTATAAGCATGTGACAAATGGAAGTACTCCTCAAATGAAATCAACTGAACAAGGTACAATGGCAAATAATTTTAACAGTACAAATACCTCCAATGGAAGGGTAGCAATCAAGGGAGCACATGCATCAGGTGTCATTGGCTTCTCAGTGGGAAGAAAAATTGTCTTAACCTTGTCCCAGTTCTCCTCAATTTCTATTCCTCCACATTCCGAGAAGCTAATGGTGCTGCCCAGCCTCTCCGAGACAATAGAAAGGTAGTATTCTTGATCATGGGGTACAAATGGCTCCACAATGAAGGTGGTGATTGGAGCCTTGCAGCCACCCATCTCGACCTGAATAGCCACAATAGGACAGAACAACTTAATTTATCAAGCGAACAGAGAATAAGTCAGATTTTAAAGGCGATAGCAAAATTGAACTACCTCAACTCCCAGCCTCTCCTTCACAAACTCCTTGACTTGAGCAATATCTAGGTTGAGGGCCACAAGTCCGCTCTTGCCACGCTTCCCGAACAGCATGTCGGGCTTCACGACCAACTTCATGGTTGACAGCCATGGCTGCTGGTTTACCAGCTCTGTGAAGTCCGTCGATTGTGTAACCTTTTTACAAATCCCAGAATCAGCCAAACCGATATTTTTAACTTCAAACAAAAATATGCTATGTCAAACGAGAACCGTAATTACGATTAATTTCACACATAGTACAGTTTGTATAATTCAAAATCAGTCAGTTTAAAATGTATGAAGGCTCCCTAGTGACCCCAAATGTGTGAATGTAACAAAAGGAAATATCTGCTTGTACGTAGTCCATGTACTGTTATTTATTTCAGAGGAAATCACTTTGCATCAGGACAACATTCAAGTGTCAACATCATAACCAGTTCACCACCATACGGACACCAGTAACGAGAGTTAACTAACAATTTACACATAGAAAAAAACAAAAACAATGCTGCAAGACAAAGCTCCAGATCTAACAAAGGAATTGATGCTTTTGCACTATATGGAGTATCACCTAATACTACTGCAAGTACCAAACTGCAAGCAACCATAAGTCGTACTAGTTCAAGCCATAACTCGCATACAGAACCAAGAACATTTCCATTCTAAAATTAAAATCCTGTAAGTGAGCCCATCCACAATGCCCAACAGCAGAAAAATTGCATCTTCATACGACTTGTAGCCAGATCCCCATTTCATACTATCATCTTAAAGCATCGCATTTTACCCTAAACAGAGAACTATTTTGTCATGAATTCACAGATGCCAATGCCTCATTGAGTAATGAATAGCGAACAAAAAAAAAGAAAAACCAGATCTTTACACGCAACCAGGCCAAATCACGCGGGCCCAAATCAGGCCAAAAATGAAAAAACGCCAAACCAGCCAGGGATCACCGGAAACAAAAGCTAAAACTTTGAGATCAAGAAGAAGAAGAAGAAAGAATCGAACCTGGGCGGAGAGGATCTGGAGGTCGATACCGGCGAGGCGCTTGAGGTGCTCCTTGAGGAGGCGCTTGGAGTCGTACTCCCGGATCTTCTTGCGCGCCATGGCTTGGTTAGCTGCTGCCGCGAGAGGCGCGTGGGTTCTTGAGGAGGGTTCAGCAAACCAACTGCAAAGGTAGGTAGGTAGGCGGAGTGAACGAAGCCACCGAGATGAAGGTGGTGGTGGTGTGTGCACGTTGCGTCTTTGGGAGGAATGGAATGAATATAAAGAAGATGACTCGCTGTGTTCTAGATTGGATCTACTAAGTAAGCAACCTGCAGCATCAGTGTAGAAAAGAAGCATTAATTAATTGACTAAACTACTGCTAATTGTGATATGCATCCTCCTGAATTAATTGTCTACTGAAGATATTGTGATTTGCACACCCTGTATGAGGATGAGACCATGTTTATGACCAGCTGGTCTGGAGCTAACTACACCAATCGGACCAGATACATTGTGCTGTGCGAGAATTAATGGTTTCTGCCTTCGGTTTCCTTTTCCATCTTTTGGTGTTTCTTGGTTTGACAGTGGATGGATTAATTACGTTATTAAGGAGAACAACACACCAGACAGACTAGTGACTAGTGATTAGACTGTTGAACCGGTGTTTGTTTGTTTGGTTTGGTTCTGGAAAGGTTGTTTTGCAAGAGAAGCGAGAGGGAGAGTTTGGTGTTCGGTGAGTAGATGGCAGTTGCACAATCTGCCTGCTTGCTGGTAGCCTTGTTGTGCTCCAGTTAGGTAGCAGGTAGATGTGATGACTTCTTTTCTCTTGTGTTGCTGTTGGTCCTCTGCTCTACTGCAGTGTTCAGTTTTGTTTTTCTGGGGAATAAGTTCATCCGAGGTCCCTTAACTTGTCAACGAATCCGATTTTCGTCCTTGAACCCTAAAACCAGATATAACGGGTCCCTCAACTATCAAAACCGGTACAGATAAGGTCCTCCGGCGGTTTAGAGGGCGGTTTTGGCTGGTGTGGCGCTTACATGGCAATTCGATCCAGAAAAATAATTAAATTAGTGGGCCCCACATGTCAGTTAAAAAAAAGTGGGACCCACGTGGGCCCCACATGTCATCCTCACTGCTCCCTTCTTCCTGCTATCCTCTCTCTCTTCTTTCCTACGATGTGGACTAGGGCGGCGGGCGGAGTGGGGCGACGGTGGCTGGAGCGGCGGCGCACGAAGCCAGCGGGACAACCGCTCACCGGTGGCCACTTCGATGATCTCCAGCCCCTCTACCTGCTTCGGCGGCTGACCTCGTCGAGTACTTGCCCGGCCTTGGCGTCGCCGGTATCCGGTCCGACGACAGGCGCGTCACGGACCTTCAATGGTGTCGTGTGCTGAGCATGGAAAACGAGGCGCGTGGGGTGACCTCGTCGACTGCCTCTGGCTCAGACCACACATCTGGACCTACCGCACCGTCGACGAGGCCTCCGACCACTGGCTGCGGATGTACGGCCACCTCATCAGGTACGGCGAGGACGGTAGCAGCCTCGTCAGGGTGATGAATCTGCACTCCGACGCCGCAGTAGCCGCCGCCGAAATCCGGTGGTTCGTAAGTGTGTAGATCGAACATTTGTTTGTCATGCTGCAACAGTGTGATGTGAGCGAACATTTTGGCACTGAATTTTGTTCAAATTTCAACGGGATTTACTGAGGGAAATAATGGATTGTATCGTGAGTAGAATTGTAGAAATAGAATCGAACAGCAACTGCAGCAAGCAGTTTCCAATCCCTGTGAAGTCGTGGAGAGGGGAGAAGGAGAAAATGGCGACGTGCTCACCGTTCGCTTCCGGAAGCTGGCGGCCGACCAGATAAAGGGCGCTCGACGCCGATGACGCCCTCCTCCACGGCGCCGCTTGCGTCCCGACGCCCTGCTCCTGCGCCACTGCCGCCAGTCACTAGTCACTACCGCTTGCGCCCTAGGGCCCCACGCGCCGCCGATGCCCTCCTTGACGCCGCCGCCGCTTGCACCCTGTGGCCCTGCGCGCCGCCACCGCACTGCTCCCGCGCCGCCGACGCCCAATCGCCGCATCGGTGGCCCGGTGCCCTCCTCAAACCCGTCGCCATCGGTGTCGTCGTCTTCGACAGCGGCGGCGGGGAAGCAGGTGGAGAGAAGCGGGAGCTCGCCCGCCACCGCCCATAGTGAGGACGCTGTCGAGGTCGGTGAGCAGCGCGGAGGACGGTGGAAACGGTGGCGGGGGCCGCGATGGTGAGGTGTGCGTCCTTCTCCTAGCGGAGGACGCCGTTCCTTTCTCGCCGGTCGCCTCCTGCGCATGCGCGCGCTCCTTTCCTCCCTCCGGCCGGCGCTCGTGCGCCGCTTCTTATCTCTGCCAGCGAGAGGAGGGAGGAGAGGGGAGAGAGATGAAGACGACGAGAGATGGGGAGAGATCAGGAGAAAGAAGATGAGGGGTGAGAATGACTCGTGGGGCCCACGTGGATCCCACTATTTTTATTAATTTGTATATGAAACTGATATGTGGGCCCTAAGGGTTTTTTTTTTCGAATTGCCACGTAAGCACCACGTCAATGCCACGTCAGATGAAGACCGAGTCAAATTTGCCACGTAGGCGCCACGTCAGCCAAAAACACCATCTAAACCGCCAAAGGACCTTATGTGTACCGGTTTTGATAGTTGGGGGACCCGTTATATCTGGTTTTAGGTTGACGAAAATCGAATTCGTTGACAAGTTAAGGGACCTTATATGAACTTATTCCTTTTTCTGGCCACACATCCTACCAAAAAGGAATAAGTTCATCTGAGGTCCCTTAACTAGTCAACGAATCCAATTTTCGTCCCTCGAATGGAAAACTAGACACAACGGGTTCCTCACCTATCAAAACCGGCTCAGATTAGGTCCCTCGGCGGTTTTGAGGGTGGTTTTGGCTGACGTGGCGCCTACGTGGCTAATTTGACTAGGTCTTCGTCTGACGTGGCATTGACGTGGCGCTTACGTGGCAATTTGATCCAAAAAATAATAAAACCTGTGGGACCCACATGTCAGTTTCATACACAAATTAATAAAAAAAATGGTGGGGCCCACGTGGGCCCCACATGTCATCCTCACCCCTTTTCTTCCTCCTCTCTCCCCATCTCCCCTCTTTCTCCTCACTGACCGGTGGAGTGGGGCGGCGGCGACCAGAGGTCGGTGGAGCGGGGTGGCCGGACCGGAGCAGGGCGGACGCGGGTGGAGCGGCGGCGGCCGGTGGAGCGGGGCGGCCGGATCGGAGCAAGGAGGCTGCCCGGCCGCTCCGCCCGTGATGCCCAGCCGGACGGCACGACCCCTCCTCGCTCGGTAGTCGCACGCACCGCCTCCCTCCTCGCCCGGCCACCTCCGCCGACGTCCTCAATGGTCACATCCGGGTTGGAGCTGCCCTTCGTCGCCCGGTCGCCGAGCGCCGCTTCTCCTCGCCCGGCCGCCGCGCGCCACCTCTCCTCGCTGGGCTGCCGAGCACCGCCTCCCTCCTAACCGGGCCGAGCGCCGCCTCCCTCCTCGCCCGGCCGCCGCGCGTCGCCTCTCCTCGCCCGGCCGCCGTGCGCCGCCTCCCTCCTCGTCGGGCCACCGAGCACCTCCTCCCTCCTCGCTGGGCCGCCGCGCGTCGTCTCCCTCGCCCGGACGCCGCGCGCCGCCTCTCCTCGCCCGGCCGCCGAGCGCCACCTCCCTCCTCGGCGGGCCGCTGAGCGCCGCCTCCCTCCTCGCCCGGCCGCCGCGTGTCGCCTCTCCTCGCCCGGCCGCCGCGCACCGCCTCTCCTCGCCGGGCCGCCGAGCGTGCCTCCCTCCTCGCCGGGCCGCCGTGCGCCGCCTCCCTCCTCTCCCGGCCGCCGCGAGCTGCCATCCCTCACCCGGACACCGCCCGCTGCCTCGGGGATGGGAGAAGGGAGAGAGAGGGGAGATGGGGAGAGAGGAGGAAGAAAAGGGGTGAGAATGACATGTGGGGCCCACGTGGGCCCCACCATTTTTTTTATTAATTTGTGTATGAAACTGACATGTGGGTCCCACGGGTTTTATTATTTTTTGGATCAAATTGCCACGTAAGCGCCACGTCAATGCCACGTTAGACAAAGACCTAGTCAAATTAGCCACGTAGGCGCCACGTCAGCCAAAACCACCCTCAAAACCGCCGAGGGACCTAATCTGAGCCGGTTTTGATAGTTAAGGGACCCGTTGTATCTGGTTTTCCATTCGAGGGATGAAAATCGGATTCGTTGACAAGTTAAGGGACCTCAGATGAAATTATTCCTACCAAAAACCGGCGAAATCGCGATGATATGGGCCCAAAAAAATGTGGCACTCTGGGCCTGTGATTGTTCAGACAGTAGGTATGGGCTTAAATATTTGGGCTGCTCCCGGTTAGTATTTGGGCCTGATTTATATACGAGCAGAATCTGCAAACACATTCTATATTTTAAACTGGATTTTTATAGTATATTTCATATAGCTACAACTATTTTTTGTCAAAAAAAAACTATCATTTTGTTACAACGTTAGCTCAACATTTTCCAGAGAACTACAAAAATATCGTATGATTTCATAAACAAAAAATACAACTCTACTTGAATGATAAATTTGCACTTACATATCATATACACGTCATAAAACTTATAGGAAGATAAAATTATAGTTTCCTAATAAAATCTTTGGTAATGCTGCAGCTTTGGGGAAATACCAGTTAAAGCTATAGTGATAATTCTGAAAAGAAAATAATTGTAGTTTTGTATGATTATTAGTGTGTAATCCAGCATGTAAATATTGTACTAATAATTGAGTGCATAGTGGGGATTGATTGCTCCACCACTCTTGGCTGGATCCTTCTTCCATGGCATCTGATCTGGCGCCAATGTTTCCCGCCAAATTCCTTTCCTTTCCATTCCCTCCAACTCAACCCCATTCTCTCTGGAGTCTTGCTGGTCAAAAAATATCCTCAAAAAAGGAAAAGAAAAAAGAACTAGGGTTTACGCTCCATGGAGGTCGAAGCCCAGACCTCGGCCGCCGCGGCGGCGGCCGGCGACGAGCTCCGGTCGCTCCTCTCCGCCACCCTGAGCCCCGACAAGGCGGCGGTGGACGCCGCCACGGAAGGGCTCTCCAGGATCGCCGCCGCCTCCGACCCCCGCTTCCCCATCTCCCTCCTCGCCGTCGCCGCAGGTACCCGCCCCTTTATCTTTGTAGCTGTGCTGGTGGAGTTTCCATGCCAAGTGCTTACCTTGTTCGATTTCTGCGGAAGCTTGTGGATTTTTTTGCTTCTGCTGGGGAATTTGAGCAGTGGTAGTCTGGATTGTAGTAATTTACTAATTTGTGGCGTGCTAACAGCCTAACACTGTCCCTTAAGAGTGGAACTCCGTGCAAATATGAACGCTTTTTGGACAAATTGCTTATGTATGTTTGATGTTTGTCTGGCTATTTTAAATTGCCACACGCAGCACCCAGAATCCAATTCATGATTTTGCTAAACTGCAGTTAGCAAGTGCCGGAGACTATTTATGTGCATGTAGAAACATAATTTGGGAAATGGTTGGTGCTCTGTCCATGGAGATGAATATATTGATGTTCTTGTTTTGTTTTGAGATATTGTACAGAAAAATGGAAATGTCATA